AAGACGCCGAGTACGCCCCGGGGAAGCTGGTCACGACCATCAAGGCCCCGACAGGAAGAAAGAGGGCGAGGGCAGTGATATGTGGCAATTTGCTGGCGGACGGCCTCGGCTGACAAGGCCGAGAACTATGCCGGGGGCATCGACGGGACGGCTCTGAGGTGTGTCCTGAGAAAGGGAGCCCACGAACAGTGGTCCTTGGCAACCGTGGATGTGAAGTGTGCCTTCCTGCTGGCGCCCCGGAAGGAGACCCGGCGAACCCTCATCACAAGGCCCCCGAAGGTTTTGGTGGAGGCTGGGATCGTCAAGGCGTCGGAGCGGTGGTTGGTTCAAGGAGCCATGTATGGCTTGGACACCAGTCCAGCAGATTGGTCAGCGTTCCGAGATCAAGGGCTAGCGGGCTTCACCTGGCAGGATCGGGGGAGGACCTATGGCTTGGAACGGACGCCGGAAACCAGTAGAGGGTCTATGGTGGAGTTTGAGGCCGGGCCTCACAAGGACCCCAAGCCCTGCGGCTACTTGGTGATCTACGTGGATGACTTTTTGGCGGTGGGACCTACTTCCTTGGTGGAGAATGTCATCAAGAGGATCAATCAGGAGTGGGTTTGCAGCGCGCCGGAGTGGGTGAACAAAGCAGGATGGACGAAGTTCTGCGGAATGGAGCTGAAGTGGGACGAGGACGGTGGGACTCTCCGGGTAGCACAACCCTCGTACATCTCGGAGCTGATGCAGCGGCACGAGGTGGTGATGGCTAAACCGGCCCCGTTCTACAAGCCGGAGGTGCCTGAGAATCCGGTGATCACGCAAGATGGCATCCGGGAGGCGCAAGGACTGGTTGGAGAATTGCTATGGGTGTCGGTGCGCACCAGGCCGGATGTGGCATTCGGGGTTTCCTGGATGTCGCAACATGTCACCCGGTGCCCTTTGGAAGTCGTGAAGGCGGGGAAGGACATGATGGCCTACCTTTACGGCACGAAGGACTTGGGACTGGTCTATGGGCGCTGCCTGGGAGACCGAGGAGCAGAAGGAGATCTTCCTTTCGCGAGATCGATGAGGCGGCTGGAAATGTATGCGGACATCTCTTTTGCGCCGCAGGGAGAGAAGAGCCACCAGGGAGTTTTGGGATTCTATGGTGGTGCCCTCGTCCAGTGGGAATCGGGTCGACAGCCTTTTTGCACCCTCAGCACGGCAGAGGCGGAGTTGGTGGGCTACATCGAGGCCATGATCATGGGAGACTCCCTTTGTGCAATCCTGGAGGGAGGATGCTGGAGCGCCAAGGAGGCGGAGCGGGTGATCTACGGGGACAACACGGCGGCCTTGGCCATCGTGCAAGGCCCTTCGGGACCGTGGCGCACACGGCATTTGCGCCTTCGATCCAACGTGCTGCGTGAACGAGTGCGAGAAGGGGAATGGCAGATCAGACATTTGCCGAGTAGCGGGTTGGTGGCTGACTACTTCACGAAGGCGGTCGCGGCGAGGACACAGTGGCTTCGTTTCTACTCCATGGCGGGCATGATCAAGGATGAGTCGGAGGTGGTTTCGCGGCCAGGACCAGGAGAAGCAGACGGTGGTCGGGTCATTGGCAAGGAGGCAGCGGTGAAGGTCGCTGCGATGAGTGGGTTGATGGGCCTCATCGCCTGCTGGAAGCCTCAGGATCGGGGATCATGCCTGATCCGGGACGTCTGCTTGGCCTCCCTTGGAGTGGGTGTAGGATTCGTGCTGAAAGGCCAATGGGCCCAACCCAAGAGGGAAACAAGATCGGCTAGGGAAGATGAACCAGCCGCACGTGAGGACAGCCCAATGAGGGTTGCAAAGATGGTCAGGGAAGATGAACCGACCGCAGTTGAGGACCCCTTTGTGACATCAAGATGGGCTAGGGAAAATGAACCAGCCCCGAGGGTTAAACCGGTGGATCTTTACCGCAGGCCATTTTACCACTGCCCTACGGGCTGCCCTGCATCAGTAGGTAAGGGTCAGGTGCCGATCGGGGCACCGGGTGAGCCATGGCCTGAGCCTCCGGGTGGTCCAGATCGTGGGTCACTGGATGAGGAGCCCGAGGACTTTTGGGAGGTGACGTTTGAGCGGGACTTCATCGTGGCGACTCGCATCCACATGCTGAGGAGACACCGGGACTTGCAACCGGATCCCAGGAACATGCCGCCGGGGGTCAACGCTACGATGCTGGAGGGTCGGCGACAGACAAATTTGGTCTTCGTCGACATCAGACGCGGGCGGCGGGTGATCAATGACAACTGGAGGACGGATGTTTTTCGCGAAGCAGATGCCTGGACGGGGTCTACGACGTTTGTGGCTCCTTTGCGGGGCAATGTGGGTTTGAGGGACTTGGGGATCACTTCACTGCCGGGTGAACGTGAACGAAGCCGCAGTCCGAGGGATGACAACAACCCGGATGACGCGGGACCAGCCCGTCCCAGGATTGGGAACACCCACGTCAGGGCCCCACAGGAGCGAGAAGTTCGACCACGGCTACGAGCTTTGAGGTGGTTGAAGAAGCCATCTTCCGAGGAGAAGATTGAGGAGAAGAAGATTGAGGAGAAGAAGATTGAGGAGGAGAAGAAGTCAGAAGATCCAGAGGAAGAGGCGCATCAGGGTGGACCAGCACTCCCTTGGGAGCTCGACCAGTACAAGGTTCCCCCGATGCTCAAGAACAAGAACAAGGATGAATGGGATTGGTCCCAGCCGGGATGGGCAATCCGCGCACATGGAAAACCTCGGAAGCGCAAGTTCCACCCGATCCACAGGGAGTTCCCGCTGGATGCAGCGGTGTTGGAATCGAGGAGGATCACGGTGAAGCTGCACACGGGCACGTCGCCGTTATAGGGATTCGGTCCGTGGTGGAGGACAGCTGGACGGCTCATCAAGAGCGACAGAGGACTTCGCAGATGCAACCATGGCGGGGGTACACCTTCTTCCGGATCAAGATCGGGAAGGAGCGGAATTCTGGCGGAAGATCCACAAGGAATTGTGCGAGGGCTTCAACGAGCGTGGATCCAAGGGCCACTGGGTCTGGTGGCGGAGAGGTTCACCATGGCTATGCTCGAGGCAGCTCGGAGAAGCGGGGTAAGGACGCGGGGCCGGTCTTGACGTTCCCGGAGACGGAGACTTTTGAAGACCGTAGGCCTCGAGGAGTTTTTCGAGACGAGGAATCCGATAAGAGGGCCTCGTCTTCGGACTCATCCAATTGGGATGTGGTCTGATGTGGCGAATGCCACAGGGGGAGTGTGAAGAGAGCACTCAAATTTCGTGAGCATGGACGACCAACTGCAATGTTGGCTCAAGACGCATCGGAAAAGGGTGCGCGCTAGTTTTTACCCCAACATAACCGTAGTGCCAAACTGCTAGTCTGCCACACGTCTTCCAATGGAAAGCCCGCGTGTTGTGTTGGAACCCTCAGGGCGGCAGGATTGCCTTCTTCAGTGGGAACCCAGCTTACAATGAGCCTGGAATTGGAGGAGCATCGGTTTAGAGAAAGGGGGAGAGAGAGAGAGAGAGAGAGAACTGAGCAAGGACTGATTGAAAGGCAGAGATGGCTTTTTCAACATACTGGCGATGCGGCTGGCCTCGAAAAACTCTTCCAACCCAGCACTTCTCCTGCAGTCTTGCTTTCTCAGATGCAACATGCCTGCCTTGAAAACTCCAGCACCCAAAATGATGCCTGGATATAGCGGTTTGACTTCTCTCTTCAGCTAGGCTCAGTCTAGAAGTGGCACAGGATGCAGTTTTACTACTGGTTCTTGCTTGTTTGCCTAGCACACTCGCTAGGGAATGTGGGGGAGTAGCTTGAGGGATCCTCACAAGATAATTTTGGGTTGAGTCAATCGAAAATACCAAAACGGATTGGACAGAGGGCTTGTCTAAGCAGTCATACAACAAATATTGGTGTATTAGTTGAGTGTTGCTTTGTGCTAGCTCGGCGATGCATAGTATTGGTTTAATGTTGGTTTATTGGTGTTCATTGGCTCACTGTCTACACTAGGTTTAGTATGTTATTGGTTAGTGCTGCTTGGTACTGACTTGAACAACAATCAGCTTTTACTTCTTACCCCTCCCCCCAGCCCAACAAATTAAACAAACATAGTTTCTTCGGGGAAGACCAAAAACATAATATGGAATAGTAACTATGCCCTCCTGTCTCAAATCTTTAGGCTGCAAGGTATCATTTTCATGGGGCAGTCAATGTCAGTCACTTGTGCTGGGCATACTACCATTGATGGAGCGAATTAGTGTTTCCCCCACGCTTGGTCTGGCAACCATGTCAAGCTGATTCACTCGAAGCACATATTTGTTCTGAGTTTCGTTCACGGTGTGTATCGTGGAGGTGAGACAATATGCTTGGACAACTTGCACGTATTTGTTTTTTCCGCTTTGCAACCTATCCGAAATTTACACGGTGCTTCCCACGCTTGCATGCTCTGCCCTTCCAACTTTCGGCAAAGCGGTGCCCAACAGGCTACGGCAGCTGGAACCACAAGAAACATCGAATTGTTTTTCTTCACTCGAGCCGCGGCTGCGGTCTAGGAAATCCACCCCTGGTGCGTGGAATGCTCGTCATGTTGGGTTGGTTCCTAGTGTTGACACATTCACGGGGGTCACTTCTGAAGATCATGGCTCTTTTGGAGCCTGAAAAGGCACTCCCAAAGATTGCTGGACAGATGAAGACCTGGCGGTCACCAGAGGATTGACTAGTCAAGTTGATTGACCTGGTCCATCAATCAACAAGGTACTCACATTTGTCAAACTAATTGCCCCCCCCCCCAAAAGAAAAATAAATCAGTCAAACAAGAAACAGGTTTGTTTCCTTTTCGTTCCCTTCAAACCAGCCTGAAAACCCTCAAAGAAACACAGACTCAAATGTAGAGATTAACTACCCTCCCTTCCACTAACAACTGGAATATAATCTTCCTTTTGTAGGGACTCCCTGTCAGGTGCCATGTTAGTGGCAGTGGTGGTCAATCCTTTGCTTATCAGAGAGCGGATTGGAGGTGAATCCTCTGACCTGCACCCTAAAGGCGGGTGAGGCGGGAGCGGTTTTGGGACTGGGCAGGCTCTGAGTTGAATCGGCGCGCTTGCTTCGAGCTCGTCGCTTGACATTCTGGGGTACCTTCTCCACATAGGTAAGCCTTCTCCACATTTGAGCCTCATCCCGGAGTAGGCCTCGTTTTGTGGGTTTGGTCATTTAAAGTAAGCTCCCCATTTAGTGAGCATGAGGTACACAAGCAGTGCTACATTGAAATGGGCTGGTGTCCTTTTGGTTGTTTTGGTAGGAAGATAGATGGCGATTCCTGGTTTACCTGGCGGTTTAATCATCTACCAGGGAAACCCATCTATTTGCCCTAAAAGGACACCTATGCTCTGCATTGAAAGGTCGACTCGCTTGCTCGCTGACATTCTTCTGGGGGTACCTTCCATATCCATTCTTTCCAGGGATCCGAGTCTTTTCAGGAAACCATCAAACAAATCCAGGGGAAACGGAGCCGGTTTTTGAAAAGAAGGATGGTTGAAAAGAATGGGCAAGGAATCAACCCTAGAATTAGGTTGTCTTCAGGCTTTAGGAGTAATGGCCACTGTGTGGAGTTGTGGGGCGATGATTTTCTTTCGGGCTGGCCATCGGAAAGTTTGTTGTGATGGCGATAGCGTGCTGAAGTGCGTATTGGAGTGTCTGTAAGAGACCTGTGCTCGGGTCGTGCAAGGGGAACATGCGGAACAACTCTATTGATCCGCTGCTTTGCAATCACACATTCAGGCCCCAACCCTACACGAGATGAACCACCAAGCCACCCAATTCAAGGCATCAAGCAGGTTGATTGGCCGGTGCTAAGCTGGCATGTGTTTGTCGTTTTCAGAGAAGAGATGCACCAACATGGCGTCGGACGGCAACTAGAGCCAAAGACTAAAACCTGCGTAACCCCAGTACTCTTGAACTTTGAGCCACGCCCATGTCAAGCCTTGCGCCGTTCTGTGTTTGTGGTTCTTGCCAAGCAGAGTGCCACTTTTGGGTGGTTCGTGGTCAACGGTATGAGCTAATGAGGCTGGATGTCGACACCGACCCCTTGGCTTTGCTTACTGCGTGTGTTCCTGGTTCAAGGACCCCTGCAACACCAGAGCTCGCACAAACAAGAACCCACACACTGGGTGTGCACACAAACATAGCAAGCCAGACCAAACTCACCTCCAATGACCGGGTTTTCCGAATCCACCAAAATGGTCCAGAAGACTTCAATCGAGGCCAAACGCCAGGTGGCAATATATGCAAGTTGGCTTTGATTTGTGTGGTTTCCGAAGAGCCCGGCGGACCCTAGCGGAGTTTGATTTAGGCGCTGTTCATGCCGTCCTTCACCTGGCACAACGTCTTGCAGCCTGGCACATGTTTTTTTTTATTCAGGGAGGCGCGCATGTCCCATCCACAGCTGCGGCAGCTCTGTCGGTGAAGGGACCTGGGGAAGCTGAAGCAGTTTCTTTCGTGAACCTTTTGTTTGAATCAAGGAAAAGGGCATTACACCATGGTCACTATTCACCGCACGTGAGTCTTTCCAGCCTTCCCTTCGACCCTTTTTCCACGTACTTGAGGATGCAGCTCCAGCCCCAAACCACACTTGGGCGCTCCAAGTACTTTGCGCAACTGCACCCTGCATCCAACCCCCTTCAAAAACCTGCTCCCCGCGAGAACTTCTGCATCGTCAACATTTGGCGGGATGTCACATGTTCTGCGTACGACATTGGCCAAAACGTTCCCATCCAGTTTGGAGAGCGGCAAATGAATCTGACTCGTCACTTCTCCCAATAAATTGTTTTAGCCTCTTATGCACACCCGCCAGAAACATGTGTTCTTCCTTTTGCAGAACAAGCAAACTCGTTTTGTTCAGGAAAAGTGAGTTCATTACAAAAGCGCCAAAAGGTGTTTGTTGCAGAAATGTGCGGAACACCGGTAAGCAAAGCCGCCTTTTGTTCGGGACAAGTCGCCTTTTGATTTTTGCGCGAAGAGGCAATGTTGCTGAAAAAGCAGAAGAGGCGGCACCAAAGGAGGATCCAGCTATATGTACCAGGCTGTTTGCATCCCACTTCCATGCTTCTTTGGTGTATATTTATATATACAGTTGTATATACAGATACATTGATGATTAATGTATGTTCATACTTGGTTAGGACAATGGCCCTGGAGTCGCATAGCTGATGGAACCAAGAAGGGCGTCTGACGTGCAGCGATTCGACTCGAAATGCAGCCGGAACACTGAAGCTGTCGGCCGTCTAAGGAGCTATGGCGATGATGACAAGGTGAACCTCGGTCTGAACGTGCCTACGTCGAAATGGGCATGGCAAGGTGGGTCAGGTGCGCAGTGGCATTTGTTTTCCGGGTTCATCCAATCACTTCACCATCATTATGATAATTCGTTGGGGTAAATAATATTTATTTTAATATCACTTCCATTACTTCAAAATTAAAATTTGTGATTGGAATGGTCAAAATGAAAGAAAAAGATTTGAAGTACGGGCCAAGAGAAGTAGTTAGTTCCTGCCCGCTGGCAAGCAAGTCGCGCGCTGGGTATCTTGAAGACGACACCCAGCTTGATTTGTAGGCTCGAACAACTGCCCGGCCCGGCTGCATTCTGTCATGACGTGTTAGTTTCACTGTGGCAGAGAGGGCGAAAAAGTTGTCGTTCCAAGCTAATGGCCGACATTTGTCCACCGCAAAAACTCAATTGTGTGACCGGCACTCTGAACGGGGCGAAGACAGATGTTTGGGCCATGTCGAAGGCCTATCACGGGTCTACGGGGGTCCTTCATTGAGAATCGTACGTGTTGCAGAAACCATACAAGTGGCTGATAAGATGAGTGATGTCCATGATACGAACATCTCCAACCAGTTTCGCCAGCTGAACCAGAGTCAACCTTCGACAAAGGCCATGCTCATAGCTGGGTATGGTGGGTGGACAGTCACGTACTCTTCATCGGCACCTGCCAACTCCATCGCAAGAATTCACAGTCGGGTAAGACTGAGGTTTCAGAGCCTTTGTTCTGGAAGTCCTTTCAGGGAGAGTGGGTTCTTGAGGGCTTGACTCTTTTCAGATCGGCGGCTGAAGACCAGGCTAATCCAGCAAATCAATTCTGTCACCCCCCGCAAAGGTAATGGGCATGCTGCCTGCGATGAACTGAACGTCCAATACGACACAGCTTCCCAAAAGCCTTCCTTTTGACGATTCATCTTCTCATTGACCCCTCAAATTGGCGTTCCATTCTGTTTTGTTTGTCCCTGTGGAGTTACGAAGATGCTGCGGAGCAGTTGGGTAGCATGACCCCCGGATTCTTGGCGGCGGGAAGACTTGAGGTATGGCTGCCAGGGGACAGGGCCGTCAGCGACTTGATGAACAACTTGTCGCTTGGCTGAGCGAAGTGTTGCTACGATGAAGCCTTGGCAATTTGAAGTCCAGGGCTCATGTCAGCGAAGTGTTGCACATCTCACTGACCTTGTCTTGACGCCCGGTCTGGGCTGTAGCAGGGCTGACCTTTCTTTCAACCAAGAGGCAAAAGGTGAATACCGCAGCCATTAGGATACATGTTTTTTGTAAGTGGAATCCGAATTCGAAAGTAACATTGCGGAGGGCAACATGAAGTACGCATCTACTATTGCGCGCGCAAACCACTGGATATGGTCCATGCTAATATGAGATTGCCAACATCGTGGTTTTAGGCTGCAGGCTCCCTGAGGCCAAGCTCATCAGGTTGCGCGCTTAAAAGGCAGCTTGCTGTGCTTAAATGTTTGCTGAACGCAGGCTCGCAGCTTCAGGGATTGTATTTACGGGGGCCACTTACAGAGGCTCCGGAACAGGTGGATTCATAGATCACCTTCTCGGCCAAGCTTGACGGAGTTTCCGTTGGCGGGGCTGAGTACTGCTTCAAAGAGAAATACTGGGAACGAACTGTGTTGCAAGCCTCAGGGACCGCGGGAATGAATCCTTCAAAGGGGCTACTGACAGGATATTGCAAGAAGGGACGCCATATCATTCCTTTTCAAAGTGAAGGAGCAAGGACAATGCGGAAGAGGTGCCGGGGGAACTATGCTGCCGTCTACTTTTACCCAAGGCTTCCACGGAGAGATCTCGGAAGGCATGGATATGGTTTGGTCTATTCGGGTTTGTCTGTAAATGAGGGAACCCCAAACAAAAATAAAGTGTGGCGTGGAGTTCTCTTTGGTTTCCTGTAGAGCAACCCAAAAAATGGAACCTTCAACAAGTCACCCATTCTCATAGCACCAATCAGGTAGAGATTCCCCTCTCCCGAGCTCGGTGTCGTGTTTGATTAAATTGCAGCCCAGCCCAGAAGGCTCCATACGTTCTCCTTTCAACAGGCGTTCCCTTCCCAAGTTGCCGATTTGCTGGTGGTGGGCCTGTTCAAACTGCCACTTTTGGAAATTACAAAAACGGAAATGAAGGAAACCCACATCAAAAGGAAGGGGGTCCACTAAAAAGTGGCACATGCATATCTCCCCCCTTGCGACCACAGAGACCCATCAAAAAGAGACTCAAGCAGGGCCCCGGGATCCTTCACACTTTGGATTCGCCGAGACACGCGAAGGTCCTGATCCTCTGAGAGTTAAGCACACAAAAAAAGCAACCCAGACTCAAAGTGGTGCCCTTTTTTCTTGAGGGCTAGAATCAAGCGCCAAGAGTGTGCCCTTTCCCAGAGCCACAGGGACAGACACCAGGCACTCTTGAACCTCATGCACAGAGAAGCAGCTTTAGGCTGCCAGGTTCCGGAGAAAATGTTGTCTGGGAGGTTCAAAGGCAATCATTATGGTTCTTTGCAAGTGGCTTTTGTTGTTTCTTTTTGTTGGGGGGGCTCTGTTCAATTTGTCTAGGGGCTCCAAAAAACGAAGTTTTTGCAAGCCCATACAAAGTGCGAAGAGATCATTGTGACGCAAGACAGAATAAATCTGCATGGTGTGAGGGGTATCGATTGCTGAGGATGCGAACGCTGGTTGTGAGACGCGAGACGGAGAGAACCGACGAGCTTTGATTCTGCGCAGGGGCCAAATGTGCGCTTCGCCATATTGCGCAGGGGTGTGCTTTTGAGACTACCTTCAAATTTGTGTGCCCCCTAAAAGTGTGAAGCCTTTTTTTCAGGTGTATCAAACAAATTTATTATACATAGGTAGAAACATGTGTATATATATAGATATGATGTCAACGTTTCTAGAAATGGATCAGAAGGCCAAGCATCTTCTTACCAGGAAACGGTCTCAATGCGGGAATCGCGAATCGGTCAGACTCGTCTATGCGGTTGTGGCCAAGGCTTCATGTTGGCTCAGAGTTTAGTGACCAGAGGCTATGCAGGAGGTATTTATACTGTCACGAGCTGCTGGCAGCTTAAACCAGGCAAAACTTCTGAATGAGCTGCGAATGAAAGGCAAATGAGCCAAAGAAAGTCCTTGATGGGTAGAGTAGGCACAGAATGGAGGCCTGATGGCGTGGTAGAACACAAATCGATTTCCACCAGTGCTGTCCGAATAGGCAAAGTGAATTGGTCCCTCGCAAGACAGCAGGCCTATTGCCGCCATGGAAGAGCGCGTGTGCCGCATTTGCTTCAGCGAGGACGGCGGCGCGGGCCGCTTTGGTGGCTTGGTAGTTTGCTTACATTGATAGTGCTTTGGTTGTTAGGCATGGCAAGGCGAATGAATGATAAATGTGCTGTGTTTCTTGCGTGCGAGTGTGGGTCTTGCAGGGGGTGGAAGAAAAGGCTTAGTTTAGCGAGATTGAAGTTGGATCACTTTGTGAGTCCGCTATTTTCTGCCTTGGCGTCTTCTATGTGTTATTGCTATTAATGAGCACCCACCTGTGCATTGAGACCTGCAAAACTCTTGTGCACAGCGCATACGCTTGACACGTGGATCAAGCCATATTGAGCTTGCCGGGTGCCCCAGCGGCCGAAGGACCCAGTCCTTTCCCAACTTTCAACCCACCTGGTTCTCATGGGGGGAATGCCCAGGAAACATCCCTGGTTTCGTAGGCGATCCCCAAACCGGTTCATGCCCCAAGCCCCAGTTGCTTCCCGTCCAAGTTCGCTCGACTGGTCTTCGCCTCAGGAGCAGCAGCAGGAGGGCCAGGTCTTAATCTCGCCCTGCAAATGCGAGGCCGGGAAGCTCGGGCGCTTGCAAGAGGGAACAAGCGAAATCTGAGTAGAGAGGATTATCTTGTTCCAATTTGGGACATTCTGGGATAAGATTGTTGGGAATTAGGAGTCAATGGTTCTTGTTCCCTAGATTCAACTGTTCGTGACTCTCTAGCTCCCCTAGAGCAAGCCCTCGCCTGAAGATGCATCAAGCCACCGTTGCTTTGGATGTGTTGAGCCCTTTCTGGATTTTCTGCGCGAGCTGTAAATCAGACCTGCGTAATGACCCCGTCTTGCACTGTGGGGCTGTGCTCCTTGTTGATGCTGTGCTGCTACCCCGGGACCTGCTCCCATCATCTAACTGGCAACCCTTTGGTTGATTCATTCTGCCAGTCACTAGCTGGAACCTTATCACCTGCTTCACAGCAACTCTGTATGTCACCAACTTCTCAGGCAACTGTTCTTATGGAGGCCAGCATCCTTACTGGCAAAGCACTGCTATAATATGCCCTGAAGATGTGTGGAAGATAACTACTCTGTCTTCGCCATGTTTGGTTGCTTTTATGTCATTTGACATGATATGTTGTTTCAAGATCCAAACAAACATCGGATCACGACATTTTGATCTTTCTAAGGAGACAAGTAAAACGAGGCTTTGGTTTGCCAAGGTTTGCAAGTTGGACCTTTTCTCGATTGTCATAGGCCACAAGGACACAAATGCTTTGCGTATTCGTTTCCAGAACCTACGGTTGTTACAACATGCTGATGTTTGTTCGCCATCCATTAGTGTCGGTTCAACATTGCATCTTGCTTTCTGTGCAGGGGACGCGGTAGTTCCATGCTTCGTGGATCGTGAGAAAAGGATCTTTTTCTGTGTCCTCCACCGGAAGTGATCAAATGCGATTCCTCGACACGTTAACGCCCAGGAATTAGACTAGGTCCCCTAGTAGTGCCCTCCCTTTTTTGGGGGAGGGTTCCCCTACTAAAATAGACAGAACAAAATGGGGTGCCCTTATTCTAACCTCTCTACTGGAGGACCTGGTAGATTTTGTCGAGGTTTTTGCTGGATATGAGGTGTCAGAAGCTTTTGCAGGAGCTGAAGCTGAGCAAAGACTTTTGCTCTTGTTTCGATGCATATTTTCAGTTGCCCAGTGGCGCCCTTTTGCCTTTCGTTGATGAAGGGTTCCCCTTCAAACTCAACCAACCAACTTTAAAGGATACCTTTTCTTCACATGCAAATCCACTGGTCATGAGTTGGGTGGTCCAGAGGTCGGGACCTGATTTCTTGGACGTCGGGTTTCGCTGGCAGGGCTCGCAGAAGTATATCCACCTGTCCTGCCTGCGGAAGTGGCAACGTACAGTGTGGCTTGGCGCAGCTTTAGATGGCTGGTCAAACATAGCTTCCCAAAATGCAACCCTGGTAAATGGACACAATGACTAAAACCCTGTGGTCCCCTGGTGCTTTAATTTTCACCCATACCCAGATCTCTATCCGGCTTTGCCTCGGATGGAGGGCCTTCAGGGCGAATCGAACGGCACCTGAGTCCAGGGCTGGCAAATGTTGCAGGTGAGGAAGAAGTCGTGTTTAATTGGTTTGAACATGTTTTGAAAAAGGAGAGCCGTCTAGACTATCCCACCAGAGCATAGGACGACCTCACCCTTTCCAAAAACCGCCTTTTTACGGTTGAACTGCTTTTGGCAATTGTTCCGAGCTTGGCAAAGCTTTGCAAATGCCATGACATGCTTTCCCATTTGGCAGCGGCGACGCTTCTTGGACCCCTTGAAAGGCGGTATCACATCAGTGATGATGGATGCGGATGATGAGGTGGAGCTCCTCTTGTGATTGCGCTGGTGATGGTAGTGATCGTATCTTGATGTTTGGCGGGACATGACCGCATTGACTTTATATGCCGACTGGCGTTTTGTAGCGACCCAATATCCCCTGCAGGATGCACCCCGGGCACACTCGCAGAGACACACACACACCATACAATCGTAGAGCTGGAAGATGCCAAGATAGTGGCAGCTGTTCATTTACAATACAAACATGCTGGTCAGAGGGCCAAGATAGTAACGCCAAGCTTGCCAAACTTGGTTGGGATGTCCCCTTGCACACATTATGTGATGTTCGACGTACTGTGGATGGACGATCGCACCACTTTGATACCAGGAACCATTATTTGTTGGTATTTACGCAGGGGAGTCATCATTCCAGGGTTTCTTAGGTGGTGCGAAATGGATTTTGACCATCCACACTAGCAGCATGCTTTCCCAGAAGTCTGCAAGGCCTTAAGCCACGCCCCTCAAAAAATCGGAGGAGCCAACGAAACCTTCTTGGCAGCTCGCCAGGCAGCTGAGCGGCTCCAATCATCCAGCTGCTTGGCAGAACACAGCGAGGGGGGGGAAGACGTTGCGTCGGCCGCAAATGGCTTCCGCAACCGAAGCGGATGATGAGGTTCTTTTCCGGCTCGGAAACTAGGATTAGAATGTAGCTGAGCCAGTATCCCAGTTCCCCGTTCTGATACACCAACGAAAAAAACCGCAAAAACATGGTTACATGATTTGGACTCTTCAGTGAAGTCAGGGTAATTACATGTCTGCAGCTGGTTGGGCAGGCACAGGCGTTTTGGGGAGCAAAAGGGAATTTGCGAGACCGCCCAAGTTGCCGAGGATGTGGGCTGAAAGGAGCCGATCGAAACTTGCAAGTATCTGGTTGTGTTCTGTTCGAATTCTCCGAAATGGGGGATCCAGCACAGGCGATGTGGGGCCTGTTGTCGAAATGTTCGGGCCAACGGGTCCCACTTCCTGAAACCTCTGTTGAGAAAGGCCCAGCATCAGTTCCCCACGTCAATTCAAACAGTTCGACGCAATGGACCACGAAGGAGACTTTTTTTCAACAGCTCGTCTCGCCTTCAGATTTAGATTGGCCACCTTCCAGCAATCGGCAGAACCTAGGAGGAGCAAGACGCTGAGGAGCTTGAGGGCGGGCGGGCGTGTAGCATATCCTGGGCCTTCTGAATTTGTCTGAACATTCTTGTGCGCTAGTCAGTGCAATTGGAGATGGACATGACTCCCTTTGAAGGATCTTCATGACTTCAGTGTAGAAGCATTCCGCTTGCAAGATCCTTTGCTCCATGCAGGTGCTGTCAGTGTCTCACGCCCCACTGGCAGTTTGCAAGCCGCTCAAGAAGAAGATGGCAAAGCAGCTGTAGCGCTGGAGTTAATTTCATCATGCCGACTGATCCACACATGCTGAAGGGACTGATGTGCCCCCCCGCCCCACCCCCACACGGGCCCCGCATTCTGCGAATGGACCGTGGCGGTCAAACAGGTGATTGCTTGTTTTTCTAGCGAGTCAAGACCGGCCTGCTGTTGCCCGCGCCAGTGTTATGACATTTGTTTTACACTCGGCTTCACTCTTCCTTCAACGTCACAAGTCAAGGACAAGCCTTCTAGCAATACCACGGTTCACCGATTTGTTTGCTTCTCTTCATAGAAAACAGTAGACTAGGTCCCCCAGCAGTGCCCTTTCTCACCCCTTTTTGGGGGGAGGGTTCTCCTACTAAAGTAGACTCACATAGACTACCAAAAAAAGCAACGGTACCCTTATTCTAACCTCTCTACTGCAGGACCTAGTAGACCATAGTACCCTCCCACCACCTAACATGGAAGTGCAAAAAGGCCATTTCCAAGAGGAAAGTAGTGTTTCTACAGCGGTCTGTTAGCTGGTGGGAGGGTAGACCATCGATACGAGTTGAGTTGGCACCGCATGTTTCGTTTTCCCCGATGCGACCCACCGGCCTCGCCCGAGCCGAGCCAAACCGCCGAGTGAGAGCAGGACCGGCACACCGTCTGCAACGTCTGCAAAGGCACCTTCGAGCTGCCGCCGCAGGAGCAATGGGCTCGCCTTAGGTTGGCTTACCTCCATTTGCTTAACAATTGTTTTTGTTTATTGTCCCTTGTTGGTTTAAAAGGAAGTCATCACTACTGGAAATTAGTGTATTTTTTTCCTGGGGCCTCAACCAAATGGAAGCTTAGGGGAAGCGAAAAAGGAAAAAGCGATTTGGGGGCAAGAACTACTGGCAATGTTTGTTTCTTTGATTTTGTTTGTTTGATTTTGTTTGTTTGTTTTCTTGCTTCCTTGCTTCCTTCCTTCCTTCCTTCCTTCCTTCCTTCCTTCCTTCCTTCCTTCCTTCCTTCGTTTCGGCTTGAACAGGGTCGAACCAATTCGCGTCCACCACATTCTCAATTCAGATCGTAGGATCGGGCGGAGATGATGTCGGACCTCGCCGGTGTCATCGGCTCGGAGACTTCAGGTTCCTCCAAAAGTATGTTAATGTTGACCCAGGATAAATAAACCCGTCCCAGTATTAGGGGGGTGTTCCCTCCAAAAGTGATGAATCCCCACTAAAAGGGGACACCCCCTATTAATCAGGGGTTTATTAATCCGGGGTTAACATTATGCTGTGGGGTGGACTAAAAAGCAAAACATGTTGTTTAAGCAAGCAACATGCAAACCAATAGCATATTCTTTGTGTACCCCAAGTCACCTTTTTTGTTCTTGGCATGTTCGTCGAGTTTGCCTTGGGTGGGTTTTGGTGTTTTCGGCTTTTTTGAATGTGTTTTATTTGCACGGGCAATGAGAGCCAAGGAGATAAGTGTGATGTGCTAGCTGCCATCCTGGATGCAGCCCAGGCAGGAACGAGGAAGCCCCATGCAAACACGTGTTCTTGGCAAACGTGCCGGTCCTGGTAGTTGTAGAGGTCTTCCTTTCGAAAGTGTTATATGTGGCTGTCAACAGGGCACAGTGGTTGGCCCCAAGAGCTGGTTTTCAAGGCGGTGTCCTTTTTACTCACCTATTCCAGCCGGATTTTATGTAAACAACATTAGGGGATTTTAACAATGACCCCCTTATGGTTGGTATTTAAAGGGACACCAAAAGGAAGCCAACCATTTTAGGGGACCCGTTTGAGAAACGTAGATGTTTTATGCCGCCAGGTATGGGTGGATTTCGGTCAAAGGTTTTTGTGGATCCACCCTTGTAGGATAGCAAAAGAGTACTAAAAGAGTATTAAAAGAGGAACAACTCGCCAAACAACATGGGGAAACCACAGAAAGCGCATCCAATCCGTTTGCTGGATTAACAGCCAGCAGATGAGAGAGCCAGGGTGTGCATAGACAAAGTCCGCTTCGCACCAGTTGGGAAGTGGTTCCCAGTATTTAATTCGGGTTTTCATCATCCATCCCACCAGGTACATAATGTTGTCCATCCATGGTATGTCAGTCTTATCTCACCTTCGGGTTTTAGATGGTTTTTCGGAGTGGAGTTGGTTTCGCCGAAGCATGCGGAAGGGTCCACTTGACCCGACCACTTGAAGAGTCCTTCAGGCTCAGGCCGTCAGTCTGCTAGACAACTGGCTTGGCTTTCATCAAAGCGGCGCTTTAGATTGGTGACCTTCAGACCTTCAACCTGCTTGGTTTGCAGGCGGCTTGGTTTGGCCACAGCCAACGTGCTAATAAAACGATCGCAAGCTTCGGGTTCAGGATCAATGCCTAAGGCAATGCTCAATGCTGACCTCCGTTTTTCCATGCTCATAGCTTCAAAGCCAGAAGTCCTGAAAGACAACTTCCCACCATGGGATCCGGAAAAAAAAGCAAACAGAAAAAAAAAAGAAAGAAGTTCTCAGGTTCCACGGCTCTCAAAGAAAATGCATGGCTCTCAGGTTCCACTTTTTCGCTTTCAACACGAAAGCGGGATTCCGCCCATTTGGCAGGGTGCAGCTGGTAAAGACATACCTTGGTCGCAGGCTTTGGCACCCTCTTCCCATCGCGGCCCATGAAAACCGGGATTTTTGCGGGTACCCGTGGTCCAAAAAGTAGTACACTCAAAATGGGTTGTGCTGGTAGATGGAAAGGACTAAAGCCTGTGGTTTTTTGGCGGTGTGTAATTTTACCTACCTATTCAGGGCTCCTTAAAAGATACATTTTGCCCATTTGAAACATGGCTTTTTCAACACCAAACTAAAGGGAAACCACCATTGTAAGGATCCCTGCTATTTGAACACGAGGTACGCCTATTTCGGGTCCCCGCTGGGTTCGGGTTCGGCTTCCACTTGCTGAGGTGCATGCCTCAGACATAGCCCCGGGCTTGCTGCTGGTCACCAAGCGGAACACCGAGTCCGCGGCGGGGCCCTTGGCGAGTTGTTAGGTGTCCCTGAATTGGTCTGCCTGATTTGTAGCGAGCTTACCGATGATTAGCTTCCATTTGCTGAAGATTTGTTTTTTTTTGTTTCCCCTGTTGGTTCTAAAGGGAACCTATCACTACTGGAAACATTTTTAATTTTCCAGGGGTCTTAACCAAATGGAAGATAAACAAGCTCAGGTTGACGGAAAGCGACCTTCAGCTCCAGAGTAAATAGACTTTGCAGAGCAGATGCTGAGCTGATGCCGGGGATGCTGGAGATGCAAATGCAGGGTTTTCTCGTGCCATGCTCGCGTTGTTTGTTGTTTTTGTTGTGGTCCGATCCTTGCAGTGTTGTCGTCGCGAGCGCCTGGTGCAGATGATGCAGGGGAATCTGGAGATGCTGGCTGGAGATGCTGGAGATGCTGGCTGCCGATCCCTACCGCTAGGTATTCTCAAGTTGGCATGACCCGAACGACATCTGTTCCGCGCGTTTTCCTGGCAGCCCCCCGCTTTCCATTCTTCCGTCGTTCAGCGTATCGTTTGTTTTTGCAGATTGGTGGGATTGCCATAGCTGGTCAGAAGCGTTTGGTACCATTGCAAATTGGTCAGCCCTGGTGAAATGTTCAGCCTTTGAAATTATGGCAAATTAATGTTTGGATTGCTGGGATTTGAAGCCCTGGTACATGGGATGCCACGTTGGACCCTCTGTACACGGACCCCCCCTGAAAAGTGACTATTCCTAGAGGAGGTCCAACATTACCAGATGGAAACCTAAACCACCAATTCATAATTCAACAACCAACTCGGGGGAAGCTGAAGTTGTTTGGGGGCGGAAGTTGCGGCTCTTTGTTGAGGTTTTCATCGCCAGGATTTTTGAGTTCCAGCAAAAAGTTAGCTTTTCGCAGGGAGTCCAAGGCTTGCCCAGTTGAGGCGGTTTGGAGTAACGCGTTTGCAACAGGGCGGGGAAATGTAGCGAGCGGCAAAAAGATAATTCTTGGTACCATGCTCCAGGACCCGGGTGCATGATTGGGTCCATAGGTCAGTGTGCCTGAACGGAAAATTCACCACATCCAAACGCCTGGCCAAAAGCAAGAATGCGAACAGCCAAAAACAGCCAAAAAAATCGGCATGCATCAAACCCAATGGAATTCAACAGAGGGATGTATCTCCAGCAATGCAACGACTCCATGTTCATTGTCTAGGTCCCCCAGCTAGGTGCCAGCTTTTAGCCCTTTTTGCGGTTGGGAGGGTTCCCCTACTAAAATAGACAAAGCCGAAAGCCAAAAACAAAGAAAGAAAAAGAGAAAAGACCGGGTACCAACTGATGCGAACCTCGGCCATGGAGGACCTAGTTGGGTTGACGGTCGGAGGGTTCTCGGGGGGCCTTCGAGGCGGCCAACATCGAGAACTTGGCCATCCGTGCCTTCATCGAGGCCAAAGCAGCGTTAGGATGCCCAGAGTTGGAGCGCTCCACGCTTCCGCTGCTTGAGTTTTTTGGGCGGGGTTTCCGGTAACACCGCCACCAACCCCAAAAAAGCGAAAGACAGAGGTAGACTCCCCCCCCCAACAAAAAAAAAGCTCAGGTGATATCCCCGACAGCATGCAGTGCTCTTTTTAGTGCTCGCGCCACCCCGCAGCCCTCGCAGAACCTCGCGGGACCCTCGTGGAACCGTGGTGGAACCCTCGTGGAACCTTACCTCAGACCCGCCCCGGACCACCGCAGAGCCTATCTGGGCTGAGACCCCAAAGCTTTCAGCTGTTGGGGAACAAAGGCAACAAAATAGAAAGAAAGGGGTACACTCCCTCAACAGAAAGAAAGGGGTACAAAAGCAATACAACAGAAAGACAGAGGCGCACTCCCTCTCACGAGCATGGCGCCTGACTTCATTGCACATTGCAAATGACATGGACTTTTCCATTTATCCCAACCGTTCAAGGGAAAGAACGGAGGGTGCCACACCCATTTCCCAGTTCGCGGTGTGGCGTGTGGTGTGTCGCAAGCAGTGGTTGGCGCTTGCTCGGCTGAGGCATTTCCGGCGAGCAGCCGAAGCCTCAGCTTCAGCTTCAGTCAGTCTGCGACGGCTTTGGGTGGAGCCAGCTTCGCTTAGCAAGGGCGTCGATTGCCTTGATCAACCTTCTCTTGCATTGTAATCCATGGCTTGCAAAATGACCCGAGCTCCTGGACTTGATTTTTTGTTGGACATCGGAGAAACAAGACTCACTTGAGTTCCTGGAGTTTGATTTGTGTGGACATCGGAGAAAAAGAGCTGAGTTCCTAGACTTGTTTTTTTTTTTTTTTTTAAATTGGGCATCGTTTCCCCGACACTTGAACTTGTTGGGTCCAAGGCCGAAGCCTCATAGCTAAGCTTGTGTCCGTCCGACAGGATCGTGTCACTGATCAGTTGCGTTTGATTTGACAGGGGCATCACACACACACATGTGCACAGAGACACACACACACAAATGCGCAGATACATCCTAATTTCGAAAATTGAATTGTGTGGTTTCCCAAGGAAGGCAAGCAAGCCAGCCTTTGTGCATGGACACTGCTGGACTCTCAAACCGGCTTTTTTGTTTTGAGTGCAACTGTAATGCTGAATCTTGGATGGGTTTGCTGGCACGTTTGTTTCGGACATGTCTCATTTCTCATGTGAGCCTGGCTTTGCTTGGCCGGAGACTGTCAATGATGGCTGGCAAGGGCCATTTTTCTTGGATTTGTCACCCGTCTTTGTCACCGGCAGTCATTTGCCGATTCTTCAAAACATCCAGCAGTAGTGGTGCGCAACCCAACACTTAGCACGATTCAAAGCTAGTCAGATTCTCTGCTCTTGATCGACTTGCTGAATGTGTGCCAACTGACCCAAGCAAGCTTGTCATCCTCAGGTCGTCCCAGACCAAGCTCACTGTCAACAGCCAGCGTGTCGCACAAGCGGTCAGAGGTGTAACTGTTGCTTTCAGAGAAAATCAGCCCACATGAAAATGATGCGCGGGGTTATCTTATGCAAGGTCTGCAAGTCCACCCCGAGTTCGCTCACGAGTGGCAAACATGACACCATCTCTTTGGGGGTTGACGACACGCAACGACACAACTGGGAACATATCAAGCCAAGACAGTCAGCCCCGTCTGAATAGTTGTGTTTTAATGTTCAATTCGAATTGTTTTTTGGCTATCCCCGAAAAACACAAAGTCAATTCATCATTTCAGGAAGCTTTTGAACTTGGTTGGACTTGGGCATGCGCCGGACTCGCTGCGAACGGAAGTTTCCACCTCACCCTTGCTGAGATCCGGCCGGTGAATCCACGCTGAGGTGTACATCCTCACGGAGGTCACTCCTGGTGCCCGCGACGGAAGCGCCTGGTCGTACGCCGAGCGCATCTGAGGTCACGCGCGCTGGGAAAATTCGGGCCCGGTTTTGGACCCTGGGGCCTTTTGCCTTCCGCCTGTTAAAATCTGGTTTTGGCTGTGTGATCATATGGGTATGGGTTAAAATTAAACCCCGAGAAGACCACAGATTTTAGTCCATGTTTCCATTTACCAGGGTTCCATTTTGGGTACCTATTTTTGACTCACAGCCATATATCAATGTGGCACACACACACAAGTTGCTTTAGTTAATGACACACTGTTTATTCACATTGCTTGCCGCTTTAATAGACTGATGCCCCCGGAGATGTTGTAAAGAAGGATTTCTGCATATGATGCTCAGCCATACTTCGGCTTTTCCTTCACGAACTCGCAGGTGCAAAGTTCAAAGTGTTGGAAGTTCGAAGGACCCAGGCTTCACGTGGGGGTGCCAAAATGAGGTGCACTTGTTGGTATCCCCTTTCTGAAGCTGCTACAATCTGACTTGACGTCGTATGTTTGGGAGGATCGCCCCTACATGATTCTGGGAAGCTGCTGATATCCAATGGCATAGTTTCTACATCCGGAAGCCTCTCTGCATTCGAGTTCTCAAAGGGCTTCCTGTTATTCGAGTTCTCAAAGGGCTTCCTGTTTGCATCATGCATCCAGCTTTAAGTTTTAAGCATCACTGATAAGGAATTAGGTGATGCTTGAAGATGCTCGACTCTGACAATGAACCCAAGCGGAAAGACCAGAGACAGACGAGCCATGCATCTGCAAGCCCCGTTTCGTTTGGGGGGGGCGCCCAAGTCGCGGTGGTTTGGACTTGAGGTCCCCCAGTGCCCTTCTCTCCCCGTTTTCGGTTGGGAGATTGGTGCCCTGATTCGATCCTCTCCATTGGAGGACCTAGTTATATTTTTTCGTCTTTGGACCATGTTGTTTGGCCAATTTTTGGCCAATGGTTGGACTATTTTGGACCATTTTTGTGTTTTACTTTTTGTGTTTGGACCATTTTAGTCGCAAATGGACAGTTGCGATCTTTTTTGTTGGCCAATCCACTCGGGAAGTGGGGAGTGGGGGAAAAAACAAGATGAGACAAGAGAGAGAAGCCTGAGCAAAGGAACGTCGGGTGAGTGCAAGGGAGGGTAGTTGAAACGTCAAGGGTCCTGTACATAATTACATCAGTGGAGAGGTCCCGTGGGAGGATGCTTTTGTGCGGCGGAGGTGGAGCCGTTGAACTTCTAAGGCTCAACCTCTTACCAAATCAGTCGGACAACAAGGGTGGGTACACACTTAGAGCCAAATTTGTGTGGCCATTGTTCGAATACTAGTCAGTGTGAAGACTTTGGATGGATTAAGGCTTGCTCCCACTAGCCTCGAACTGGTTTTGGGGGTGGGGATGACTTGTACAACCTGGCTGTTTTGCTTGCCGACTCCCAGCCAGCCTTTTTGTGTTTAGAGGTAGTTTCCATTTAACCCACTAAAAGTTAGTCACTTTTAGCGGGGGATCTGAGGGCAGCCCAGTTTGGTCTCCATCTTTTCAAGGCGTCGGTGGGAGGCGCACTGCCTGTGTCAGTGTGCTGGGTTTCGGTCCTGACTCAACTCCAATCAACTATTGAGCTAACCAGTTCACTATACACCAAGCCAACTTAAAACTAAGTACTAGGCAACTAACCCTGTCACACATCAACCCCCACCAATTGATACTTCAGAATCCTTTTTGCGGGTCCGGATTTTGGGTCCCCTAACTTCACTATGGTCGGAGTGTTTTTTGGTTTTAGGTGTTTTAGTTCTGCTCATTTTTAGTAGCGGGCTGCAACAACAAGCCGTTGTTCGCAAGCCCATACAAAGAGTTGGAAAGCAATTTACTACCCTCATTTGGAACGGCCAAACCAGAGCCCCATCCAAGTGTTGAATCTTTGTTGCTGTTTTCTTCTCAGATGTCTAATTGGGCTCAAAACTGATGCCATGTTGTTTGCACGTCGAAGTTTCTCACATGCAAAGCACTCGATTTCAGCCTCCGGGGTGAGGAGTGTGTGGCTGAAAATGAAGGAGCTAGAGTTACGCGGGTTTTAGTCTTTGGTTCCATTTGCCAAGGCCATTTGGGTACATCTGTTTGAGCCACAGACGTATGTGCCACCCTCCCGGAATGTCCATGGAATATTATTTTATGTTCCCATGTTGGTTTTAAAGGGAATCTATTACTACTGGATTCATTTGTATTTTCTCTTGTGGCTTAAGCAAATGGAGGCCGGGGTGAGGGGTGCTGAGGTGACGTGGTGCTGGGGGTGAATCTGTGCCGCGCCCTGGACGCGCCCAGCCTCGAGTGCCTCAGCTGCCGGCTGACGCCAGACCAGCTGGCAGCGGCGAGAACGCGGGGCGTAGCGCCGCGGCAGCGGAAGGTTTTGGGTTGTTTTTAGTTGTTGTTCTTTTGTTGTTTTTCACTCTCTCTTTTCTTGGGGGGGGATTTGTTTTTCCGCTTTTGAATGTTTGTTCACCAAAAAAGGGGGCCATTGTTCGCCCAGCAGCTGAAGCTGCGGCAGCGATGTGCGTTGGTTCTCCCCCAACAGCTGAAAGCGATTTGGGGTCGCGAGGCCCAGATGGGCGTTGAGGGGTGGTTTGGGGCAGCTTGCAGCTTGCAGCTTGCGAGTTTTAGGGGTTGGATACCACCTGCGCGTATGTCCGCGAAGCAGCTTGTGCTGGGCTTTGATTCAGTTTTGGGGGCGTCATCACTTTGTCAGTTTTTCCCTACTTACCAAAAGGCAGTCAGGGACTGACGTCAGTCGTGATGAACAAGGTGGTAGTCGGCAAAGACGCAACTGCAACAGACAGACAGAGTATGGTTGCAACCCTCCAGATATTGGACAACTCTTCGGACTTCTTTGTGCCACGATTTGTGGCGTCAAGGGAACCCGGATGTTTGGCGACTGCAACAAGACATGCAAGGGTTCTGAAGAAGGTCGATTCGCAGTTTGTTGATCAACTGACGACAAGATCCGTCACAAGTGTGTCAGTGTGTATGTGCCTGTGTGCCCGTGTGCCTGTGTGTCTGTGCGTGTCTGTGTGTTTCTGTGCGTGTGTCTGTGTGCGTGTACCTGTGTACCTGTGTGTTTGTGCGTCTGTGCGTCTGTGTGTCTGTGTACCTGTGTGTCTGTGTGTCTGTGTGTCTGTGTGTCTGTGTGTCTGTGTGTTTGTGTGTCTGTGTGTCTTTGTGTCTGTGTCCTGCTACTTGATTGATACACGCACAACACACGCTGCATTCAGCAAATTTGAGACCTTTCTGATCAGCAAGTGTCCTATGCCCAACAGAACTGATCCCTTGGGTGTCTATCGGGTGGTCACATCGCGAGTGTCACACGAGCATGATGGACTTGGGTGAGTTTGTTTAAAACGATCTAGATGCAACAGCCCTCAATTTTCTTGTGATCTCCAATCGACACAAAAACGTGGCTGCCGAAAAGGCCGAGGTCTTTCTTGCGCTTCAAGCATCCATGCCTATTTCATGGCGAGCTCATCTGGGGAAAGCGAGCTCACCATGACAAAGATCCTGTACTTGGGGATCCCTGACTTCAGCTTTCGGAAGTATAGTAAAACGTTGGCGCATTTTGCTTGGATGTTAGGACTTTCACTTTTCGCCAACTAATGGGTTTTCCGTATTAAACCACTAAAAGTTCAACGTCTGGCAGAGGAGCAGAAAGCAACCGAGAAAAAGCCGCAGATCCCCGCGCCGGAGGATATTTTTGTTTCCGTCTGCTCGGAGCGAGCCCAGGAGGTGCTGTGGATGAACGGCGGCCCGGTGAAACCGCGGCAGGTGTCCGCCATGGCGGTGCTGCGCAGGGTCCGAGAGAGGCGGGCGTTGCGGTTTGGGGGGGGCTGGGAGTGGGTTGAAAGTGGGGGGGGGGGTGGGTTGGGTGGGTGGACCAGGAGGAAGGAGTGGGGGGGTTGGGAGTGGGGGTGAGGCGAGGCTTGGACCTCAACTTTTTGGTTGAACAATCAAGTTGGGTTTTTCCACTAAAGCCCAAAAAAGCGTGGCTTGCCACAACAATGAACGGACCCAAAACGGATGCCGTTGTGCGTTTCCCTTGCGGCTCTAGGCTTGGGGTGTCATCGGGCCGTCGACAAAGCCGGACTCGGGAAAGATCCTCCGGAACACAGACACCAGTGTGAGGCCCAGGGCGCGCATGAAGTCAACAATGTTCAAACAAATCCTTCCATCTGCTTAAGTTTGAAAGGGAATCTATCACTACTGGACTTTTTTTTTCTCCAGGGGCCTTAAGCAAATGGCAAAAAAAAATCTGAAGAGTCAAGATACAAATGAACCATGTAGAATACTCAGCCAGACTCGAACTGCCTAAGTTTGAAGCCTACCACGATCCAAGTTGTATGTTTTCTGTCCTCTGTAAAAGACGTTCTCAGCCATCATGGTCTGTGGGACCCACGAGAACAGGTCACGGAAAGAACGGTCGCCTGCAACTCGAAAACTGGGAACTACCGGAGTTTCAAAACTGCATAGCTCCATGGACTGGAAGGTGGATCCTGAGATCGAGAGAGAGCGAGGGGCGGGGCAAAAGACCAAAGACACATCACAGGACCCCAGCTTGCAGAATTCGAGGTCTGTGTAGAGGTCGTTGGCATCCAAGTTGTTCAGGAAAATCGTTGTCCTGAAAGGAGGAACCCTGCCCCCAAAACTGGAGGTGGTTTCCCTAAGGTTCTCCGCTTGTACAAAGGGAGCCTCACACACCGTCACGCTAAGGAACAGCACAACAAAGCTGGCTAGGATGCTTGAGGCAAAGTGGGGTGATACAAACAGTGAAACACACCAGCCTTGGAGTCACATCATCGTGTCTTCAGCAGGTTTTGCTGAATTCTAGTGGCAGTAGCCATCAGCTCTTGAACCATAAGGCGTATGCAAGGACTCCGGGATTGAAGAATCGTCATTCCTCCCATGCGCTTTTGTTTGACATGCACGTGTCCCGAAACCCACTGGCCTGGAGTTGCAGCCGTTGTCTGGCGTGAGCCATGGGGAGCTACCTATACACGTGGTGTGTTCCTCTGAATCAGCACTCGATGTAGCTAGCGGACAACAGGTGACGTTACTTTTTGCTTTTTCTCCGAGTGCCGACTTGCGATCACGCGGGTCCGCAGTTCCGGGCAGTAGATTGAGTAGCGGAGAAAGCTAACAGTGACGGACCTGAATCGTTGCATTGAACGAAGTTAGATCGGAGACCGGCCAGAAGCGTCCCTGATCTTGGTACATGCCCGTGCTTTTGGTTGTGGGGTCATGTGTGCTTTTGAACCTGCTGACTTGGGGGTAGAATCCAAGGGTTAGTTTTCTTCAGCCGCTTCATCAGGAGGCCTCCTTTGCACGTCGCAAGGTTAGTGGAGGATGTGCAAGTCTTGCTGTCGGCTGAAGGACATCCCGGCTGAGAGGGGGGCCAGGGCTAGTTAATGTCCGGGTGTCGGAACGAGTTCACAAGTTCCCAGCCGACTTCTCTTGAGTGTATCGTGGAATCTTGTTGAGGAGCCCCTGTCAGAGGGGATACGCCACGTTTCTCGTTTGCTGAAAGGATGTGTGTTCTTAGTCTTGAATGGAGGGGTCTCCTTGTCAATTGGGAAGAGGACATGTTCAAAGTTTGAGATCCTGAAAGGTGATTTGCTATGCAATTAAACCCGTGCGAAAGGGCGTCAAGGTTGTTGATACTGGCTACGCACATCTGGCCCATTTGCGAATTGAGGTGGTTAGACCTTTTTTTGGTGGTTGTTTCTTGTTTCGTGCAGTGTACATGCTCAGTTGCGCGCTTGCACAATATGTGGTTGCACGCCCGGTATCAAAAGGATTGGTGATGGGTATGACTTGCCTATATGCAGTTGACCAGTGTCCTTTGTTTAGTGTACTCGCACTTGTTTGGTTCTTGTGCAGCAACATGCTTGGCATGACTTCATGTAGGAGTTTTTTGGGTGCAGTGGGTGTCTCGTTGCTTCGTCCAGGCTGAACATCTTAACTGCAGAAATTACCCTGCGCGGACTTTGATCTGCCTCGGAATCTACGCAGCGACATACACAAAAACTCGCCCGTGACCCGGCTATGGCACAGCTGATGCTGTTGGAGGTTTCTTGACTCACAAACAGCTTTGCGGCTTTGCTCAAGGGTTCAAGCGCAACATGGCGGGCGCGACTGGATATCTAAAAGCATGGCTTGAGGTGCTCTTTGGCTGAAGATGCGGCTACCGGGTTCAGCTTTGATGTCCATTTGCTGAGTTTTAACGGGAATCTATCTTGCAGTTATGGCTATTTGTTCCAGGGCGCTTAAGCAAATGTAGGTTGGCGATTCAGCTTGAGTGTGCGCCATGTCGATACGCTGGGGATTGACGGCAAGCGATTCGAGCATCACGCGGAATCACGGGCGTGGATGTGCACTATGGCGGTCTAGTTGCGGGAGCAAGAAGAGAGAATCTGGTGGTTAGCCAGTCAGCCAGCCAGCCAAGGGACCTCAGTTGCTGTCTTTTTCTTTCAAGCACCAAGCAAAAGGGGGGGGGGGGGCCTCTATGTTGAGAAGCCAATGGGTGTTTCTCCCAGATTGCGTGATGGGTCTTCTTTCCTCTTTTTTTTTGGGGGGGGGGGGTACCACCATTTTGGGGGGACACCTAAAAAGACAAAAGAAGCATAAGTAAGTCCCTACGTTTCAATCACCCACCCCCTATGAGGGGCCCTTCAGTAACAAAACGAAACTGCCATATGGCCATGGGTCAAAACAAATCGTACCCCCCGTGAACATCCGATCCAACCTGAATCTTCGTTTGCGCACTTTTTTCTGCTCAAATGCTTGTTTGCGCGTTTTGTGGTGTGTTTGCGCGCTTTTGGAATTTGCGCACTTTTGAGGGATTTGCACACTTTTCGGATGAAACTACTCTGGTAGCCAAATTCGGTACTGCTTGTGGAAACCATCGATACTGCGCTGCTCGTGCCCGTGCCGGCGCAGCTGCTTCTTGAAGTTCTTGATGTTTACAGCATATCTAGCTCTTCTTTTGTCTGAACCCAAGCCTGTTTTAGGCAGGAAATTTGTGGCACACATGGCACCCGGCACAAGTACCAGCTATCCCTTGCGCTTGACACTTTGTAGCCATTGATTTAGCAACCCGCTTGGCTCCATCAATAGCTCCATCCAAGCCTGCAAGTATTGCCCGGGTTTGCACGGATCCGCTGTTTGCTGCAGAACTGTGCTTTCGCCACACTTTTTGTTCTGATAGGTGAAATTTAGTCGATTTGCGGCGCCTTGCCAGCCCGCAATTTGCGCGCAAAAATCCGGTACTATCGCGCAAATATCCTCACTTGCGCGCAAATACGAAAAGTGTGCGCATTCATGTGCGCGTTTCCGACCTTTTAGGCTGAAGATATCTAAAGCGCCCGAATTGCCAACCAAAGATCGATTTTGAGCCAGATGTGGTCGACAGTTGAAGCTGCGCCAGTTGGAAGCGCCGTTCGGATTTCTTGCAATGTCAAGGAGTAGAAACTTGTTTCCCTTGACCGTCCTGGCTTGGCAATGTTGAAGGCTATTTCCGACAACGCTCCGCAGGTAAACAGCCAAAATGCACTTTGGTTCCTTGGATCATCTAGGCTTCTTCTGGCCAGGCGCATGTATCCTTGCCTACTTGTTTTTGAACAGCTTCACAGGTTCATGTCCAGGCTATACACACCCCACACCTTTAACCCAAACCAGCCAAAAAAACGCCTCGCGCAGTTCTTGGAACTTTGCGTGTTTTTTTGCTTGAAACGCGCACTTTTCCGTTGTGCGCACTTTTTTTTGCTCAAATGAAGATGCAGGAACCACTTAAAATAGGTTCTAAAATGGGTGGTGAACTCACCTACCCCAAAAAGGGTACCGTGGTGCACCTACCGACCAAAATGGGATCCCAAAACGGTTTTGACGTGAAACCGGCCACATCTTCCCACCAGGAGCCTGGGTGGCCCAGGGCAGCCTCGAGGCCGTGCTGGCGCTCGCAGAAGAGGCTCGTGCGGGTGTGTGTGTTTTCTTTCTTCTGGGGGTGGGCGCTTCCGGGTGGGGGGGGGGGGGAGGAGGTGATCAAAAAGGCGGGCTATGTATTCTTTGTTGCATTTTGCCAAGGCATCAATTGCTCGATCTAAGTGTAGAAGACAGATCTTTGTTGCATTTTGCCAAGGGTTGTTAGGACTGAATAACTTTTTGCCAGCTAATGGGTTTTCCATTAAACCACTCAAAGTTAAACTGTTAGCAGGGGAGCAGAAAGCAACCGAGTTTTTGGGTGGGGAAACCAAAAAAAAGGACCACAGAATCCATTTTGTTGCGTTCCCCTCGAAAAGACACGCCCTTCTGGACCGGTCCAATTTTGAGTGAAAAGGTCCAGAAGGAGCTGGGGCAAGCTAACTAGGGTTGCAACGTAACCCAACGTGGGGGTCCCTCATTTTTGGTTGGTGAACTGCTGTAATTTGCCCCGGGGGGCGGGGGGGGAAGGAGCAAGAAACACAAACAATTCGACATTTGAGGGGTCAGGGTTTACAGAGGTTTCATTTTCCAACATTGGCCCAAAGTGGGTCGAGGGGCGAAAGGAGGTTGTTCAGAGGACAATCGTGGTTCGAGCATGACTAGCAAGGGATTTGTGGATTGAATTGGTACCAACACCTTTTTTGCAAGACTACTTTCCTTTCGGCTTACTAGTCTTCCGCTTTGGGATCGTGCGAAACGAAAGGGGAATCATTGCCATGTCAGGAATGCTAGGTTGATGACAGAGAGAAGCCATGAGAAAGCTTCAATCCGACTTCAAACTCCAAGGGTTTGTGTAGTATACCCGAATACACCCACTGGGTATGGAGCTCATTTAGGCACATGTCCGGAGCAAACGACGTATTGTTTTGGACCATCCTGGGTCATTTCCAGGTTTGTCCTTCGTTTGAAGCGCATCTTGCCAAGGGATGTTAGGACTTTAACTTTTTGCCAACTCATGGGGTTTCCCCATTAAACCACCAAAAGTTAAAAACAACTTTTAGGGGAGCAGAAAGCGAGCTTCGTTTAAAGCACATGTTCTCAAGTATCGATGTCGCCCCCCATCTTGCACGACCGCCCAAAGCCGGTCTTCGACTCTGGCCTTGTGCTCCTTTTTGGCTAGGCAGTTTAATGAAAAACATGCGAAATCGACATAAACCCCCAAATGTCTACCCAAAGCCAAAGCTTCCATTGGCTCAAGAATACCGCTTAGTTTCCCCTGCAATCTATCCCTACTGGAAATATGTCTAGTTTTTTTCTGGTGGACTCTTTCGCAAGTGGAAGAAAGGGTCCCCACTAAAAACAGCGCTTATGGTCCATGACCCGTTTTGATCGCCGCACTTTCGGCAGGAGGCAGCTCTGACTGAGGGCGAGGAGGCGAGCATGAGCTTTTTGCTTTGGCATGAGAACGCTTTGTGAGCGGATCCAATTTGATTCAGTGGCCAGGGTAAGTCAAGCGCGGTCCTTGAGAAGAACCTCAAATCTCAGCTTGAGATTTGTGGCTGGAGGTTTGCTGGAAGCCACAGGATTCTTCTGGGCATACTACAGGTCTGCTTTGGGACAACTTTCCATGTTTCGTGACAGCGATTCCTTCTTGGGACTTGTGTTTGCATCGGCGCTTGTGTCTGTGACTCACCCTGATGTGTCCATGAGCTGTGAAAACTTGAGTTCATTAGATGTGAAGCCGGCGATGAAGCAACATAGAGAGTTCGTTCTGTTTGTTGATACACAAGCTTGCCTTGATGCGGGATCAGGCTGGCATGGCGATTCCTGCCTACCTTGGGTGCCTGTTGATCCCATTTTAGTGCCTTGGGTATTTCAATTCTTTGGGATGACTAGGCAATATGGTTCGGTTTCTGTTTGACTTTCGCTTTGCGTGATTTGTTGTCCTTGCCCTTTCTGTTCGGCTCGTCTGAGGTGCGATTTCTTGGACCCAGTCACGGTTGTTTGCTTTTTTTCAGGGGTGGTTTCTATAAATGTCCATCATCCTACGTAGTCAGCTGGGCAAGTCTAGAACAAGATTTGGATGCTCCACCTGGTGGATTCGACCAGTTTTGGTTTGTTTGTACTCTTGGGCTTTGTGAGTGCTTATTCCGGGGCAGGTCCTTCACACTGCTCATCCAAATCGTATCTTGGAGGAAAAGCATGGTCCTAACTATTTTGTCGTGCATCGCGGGAACAGTAGACTAATTAATTGACCATCTTGGTGTGTTGGGCGGGGTGTCCCAAAGGAGTTTCGTTCCTTCATCTGGGACCCCTTTTCACTCACGACAGACGCGTTGTTTATGCTAACAGCGCCCGCACCGGACCGGTGGTTTTTGGTGTTTTTTTTCTGACTTTCACATGGTGGGCACCCGCTCAGCACTGCACACATGCCTGCCAACTGATAAGCACACCCGCTAAGCACACCCGCTCAAGAGCACCCGCGCAGCACTTGCACACATGCCTGCCAAATGATAAGCACACCCGCTCAAGGGCACCCGCTCAGCACTGCACACATGCCTGCCAAATGACAAGCACACCCGCTCAAGGGCCCCAAGGGCACCCGCTCAGCACTGCACACATGCCTGCCAAATGATAAGCAAACCCGCTCAAGGGCACCCGCTCAGCACTGCACACATGCCTGCCAAATGATAAGCACACCCGCTCAAGGACACCCGCTCAGCACTGCACACATGCCTGCCAAATGACAAGCACACCCGCTCAAGGGCGCCCGCTCAGCACTGCGCGCATGCCTGCCAAATGATAAGCACACCCGCTCACGAGCACCCGCTCAGCACCGCACACACGCCTGCCAAATGATAAGCACACCCGCTCAAGAGCACTCGCTCAGCACTGCACACACGCCTGCCAAATGATCAGCGCAAGAGCACCCGCTCAGCACTGCACACATGCCCGCTCAAGAGCACCCGCTCAGCACTGCACACACGCCTGCCGAATGATAAGCACACCCGCTCAAGAGCACCCGCTCAGCACTGCACACACGCCTGCCAAATGATAAGAACACAACTTTTCAAGGGGGTTGCTGCCTGGAGCCCTTTGATGATGGGGTTTCGGAAAGGTTTCAGAATGGTTTGTGTTGAGGCACAGCAGTGAGCTCTGATGGCGGGCGCGAAAACAAACCCGAAAACCCTGCCTAGCAACGCGAAACTGCCCAGAAAAAACTTTGCGCCGACGTGCAAGACTGCAGCGACACATCAAGTTTGTTTCGTCATCCTCTTTGAAGCAATCAGATTGGCTACAACAGCTTACACCGTTGCCGCTGCAGAACCCAGCGCACGCCTGCGACGCTATTCGCAGCACATTCACAAAACTTTCAATGCGCTTGCGCAAATCATCGGGCGCGGCAAGTTGCAGCCTCTTACCAAACAGCACGCTGCAATGCACAAGCAAGACGCAATTAACTATTACAGCAAAACTTCTGCAAACACCAACAAGCTCCTCTCCGGCGGCACCAACCTGCGTCAAAAGAACCACGACCAGGATGGCGTGAGAAGCTGTAGCAGCACGTTGCTGTCACGCGCCAGGATGGCATAAGAAGCTTTAGCAGCATGTCGCTGTCACGGAAGTTAAAAAAAGGAGGGCGAATTCTGCATACGAGACTGTTTGCCTGAATCACACTGTAAACGACATGAAACGGACTTGGAATTGGTAGGAAAGCAGCATTTGTTTATGGTGACCTCGAATAAGACCCTGTAAAACGCGCGGTTTTTGAAAGCGCCCAGCAGCGCAACCATCAGATTGCGCGGGTCCGTTGCGGGCGCCGTTACCTTGTTTAGTCGGGCGTTGTCGCGACCTCAAGGTAAACCTTGATTCGTTTTGATGGGTGATTTCTGCGAGTTTGAGCCCTTGATTCCCCAGGGTACATGGGAAACCTCCAAACCACCAAACAACAAAGCGCGAGGGAAGCTGAGCCACCAACAAAAACACCCACCAAAAACAAACAAACAAACAAACAAACAAACAAGCACAGATTTGGCTTCAAGCCACAATAGAAGTCCATCAGACATCTTGACCGCTATTGGGTTGTATCTCTCGACTTTAACCCAAATTTGGGGGGTTTCAAGTTGGGTTTGCCACATTTTGCAACAAGTGACACTTGTTGCAGGGGTCGTTGCAGCCACCAAGAAGAAGCCTCGAGCCGGCGAAATCGGCCCATTGTCCCGGCGGGGGACCGGGGGACCGGGGGACCGGGCGGGTGCAGGTGGCGGTGCTCGCCTGGGCGGGCTTCGCCCAGTGGAGCCGCACCCAGTTGCTGGGCGAGGCGGAAATTCCGAAACCGGGGGGGGGGGGGGGTCTGCACGGGGAGTGTTTTTTGTTTTTTGGTGTATTTTGTGTTTGTCTTATTATGTGTATATATATATATGTCATGTTTATTCGTGTTTGTTGGGAGAAACTTGGAAAGTGGGAGAAGTCGAAAAAGGGCCTTGTTCCCGGTTTGGGGAATGTCGATGTCCAAAAGGTGAGTTCAATTCAGTTTCGCTACCTCTGGGTGGGGTGATGTTGGCCATATGTGTATGTGGAACAATGTGTCGATCCTCTGGTCGCAGAGTCGTACGCCGAAAGAGTCCGGAAAGTCTGTTGGGGGGAGACGGGTCTGGTTTTGCACAAACTCTTGGATACTAAGTGCAGTGGTTTGACGGGCCTTCAAACAATCCCGAAATCCAGGAATTGTTGTGTAAGCCTTGAGCCTGGCTCCTTTCAGGTCATAGGTCTGCCCATTGGTGAACAACCTGCAAGTGCTGGATCATGGTGGATCTCTGTTTGCCTTCCAAGACCATCCCATTCCAAAGGCAGCCTGCGATTTTGGGATCTCACAAAAGCCGGCAGTACACCACGGCAAACTGTAATCTCTTGTCAGCCATTGTTTCATTCAAAAGGCGTGCGACCAAGGCCTCTTGAACCTTTACCCGCGTGTGTCACGGTCAACGCAGCTTCTTGGTGCAGCTGAGTTCAGGAATCTTGGCACTTAGACAGCTTCAACCAGTATATGGTACGCTGCATTCAGGGAGCCATGACAATAGCCCAAGCAAGCACGTTTCAACTCTCAAACATTGGAGACGTCGCAATTCAGCTGACCCAGCACTCATGTTTCAAGTACCCCTTTGCTGATGGAGCGGATTTGTGGTTTAAGGATTTGAATCCCTGTTAATACTAGCTGAGGAGGGTACCCATGAAAAACATCTCCAACTCTGTTGCCCAGTGCTGCCCTTCTTTCACCTTTTTTGGTCAGGGTTCCCCAATTAAAACTCAACCAGCGAAAAAAGGGTGCCATTTCTTTTCTCCCATGGAAATTCCCTGGCATCTGAGCCAACCCACCAAACCAAACGAGCGGTCCGGATGCTCTTCGCCCTCCGCCAGATGGCCCGGGGAAGCTGGGGCTGGTGCCACGGCGCGGTGGAGGATGTGCGACTTTCGGTGCCAACCTCGGGCGTCGACGAGCTCGACAGAACTCTGCCGTGAAACCAAGACTCCATGTCGCGGTGAAGCGTCTTACCTTGCCCCAGTCCTAAGAATTGAGCACCGGCTCTTGGATTGCAAGTTGCACCACTAAGAAAGGTCCCCATCTTCAGTGATCCTCAACACCTTCACCATAAGAGGACTTCGAGGCTGCCACATCTGGGGGTGTCTTCTTTTTTAGTGGACCCCGGATTTGGCTTTCCTTGTGAGCTTCCCTTTAAAGACTGCCCCAACCAAGGGTCCACAGGCTGACCGGCGCGGATCAGGAACTAAGTGAAGGCCAAAGAGATCATTCTGCAGGGCCCATTTCCGGGAAACCAGGGACATGTCCCTGCATTGTGTTTCCGTTCCCTTCATTCTTTGGATAGACATGCTAAAACAAAACCAGGCTTCGAAGCCGAACGGAAGGCCGAGGCCCGTTCCTCTTCTTTTTTTTTTTTTTTTTGGGGGGGGGGTGCTATTTTGCGACAATTTGCCAAACCCATAGAGCGGCCATATAGACGGGAACCCCGCAGAACAATACCCGATTTTTCCAGACCTTTTAAATTCTTTGGATGATCTACCCTCCCACCAATTAACATGGAACCTGACCGGGGGTCCCTTTAAAAGGAACATGGTCCAAACCAGGACCTTCCGAACGTTGAAAGGTTCCATGTGAATTGCTGGGTGTTGTCAAGGCACGCATCGGCGGTCTCTGGGAGGATCTCCGTTCCGGCTGCCGCTTGCAGTGGGCGCCCAGCAACGCGCGGGCCCCGGGTTTCCACGGCTGCGAGGGCTTCTGTTTTTTGCATTGGTTGGGGTTTGACCGAAGCCTTGCTGTAAAGCTTTTGACCTGGCTGTCCAACATGAACACTTGTTTGACCGTTGAATTTTGAACAGGGGGCCTTTTCAAGAGGACTGTCTTCCAAGCCCTTCTTTCAGCGTTCAGCTTCTTTTTTGCCTCAGGACATGGACGCGCTCTCTTGAAGGGGATCAGACACCGAAACAGGTTCTAGTTCTAGCCTCAGGGCTCCTGGGTCTCCCCTTTCGCAAGTCAGGGGCTGGGGATTCCAACATGCTCACTACATGTCAATGCCATGACCGAGCGCTCTGTTCGCAGCGAGCCTTCCTTTTAACTTTTAACTTCTGTTCGGAGTAAAGAGTCTACGAATTGCAGCATTCCCTGTCTGAGCCATTCCATACCGCGGAAGCCACCAAGTTGCGCTTCGCATCAACATCAATGGGACTCAGCCACTAGGGCCTGGGATGAAAATAGCCGCTGAGGCTTCAGATAGAATGAGAAATCTCAACATGGGAATTTCCAGAACCTCTCGTGGTTGGTTTTCTCTCGGCACTAAGGTTCTCCCCATTACTGGGAGGGGTCCCTCATTTGAAGCAATCTCCACGGCTTGGTGCCCCCAAGAAGGGTGTGCGACTCCTTGCTGTACTTGTACCAATGATCGGCAGCAACACGTGGTGAGAATCGTCAAGCGCGGGTAGCGGACCCGTGTTGCGCAGCAGGCAGACACCACCTGTGGCGAGGAATTGTCGCACCCCGCTGTATGTTTTGGATTTGCAAGCTTATGCCGTAATATAAGTATTCATAGCAATGTGTGAAACAGAATGAAGTATGTGTGTGTGTGTGTCTCGTTTTTGAAAATGTAAAGTTCAAGCATGGCTTCGGTGTGTAAATTTTAAGCCTGTTGTCTTGTGCTTTCCCTTTTTAACATCAATCCGGACGTTGCTCCCTTAGAGTTCTCATATCCGCTCACACAGAACTTGTGCTCGTTGGGGCAGTCACGGAGCGTGCCCTGCCAATGCCCCATGAATGTCATGAGAGAATGCTCAAGTCTGTTTAGCTGTTTTCCTCAGTACCGCAATGCATTGGTTGTCTGTATGAGAGCAGAAACTGCACCGGTTGCCATGCGAGGAGCTCTCGAGAGAATTCGAGCAAAGATTCGCCGCGCAGCCCCAGGACACTCAGCAGGCGACGGGGTTTCGGGTTTCGAATGGCCAGCGAAGCGCCACCAAATGCACAGACTCCTTGAGGCCATAGGGAGCTGTTCATCGTCCATTTTGGGAGCAGCCTGCCATAAATCGGTCAGGGCGTTTTGTCATTGCGCTGAAGGACTCATATCTATGTTTGGGGTTTTGGCCCCTGCATTAACCCCCTACTTCAAGAGGTTGAGCTAAGATCCTCCCTCCGATGAGTTATTTGGAGCATTGATTCCAGCCAAGTCCGACGCTGATTGCAGGTGGAGGCGGTCACTGCTTTGGTGCGGGAGTTTGAAGCGCTGAGGACGCAGACTGGCATTGATTCCTCGAGGTATTTGTCCTAGTTTGCTGTTGATTTGCGGTCATTGGAGCCCATTCCCTGGATAATTTTGTCCATGAGGTTGTACCACTTTTCCCATAACCTAATAAAAAAGCACATTTAAAACAATGCTATTGTAAAATAATGAATTAGTATCACAAAATATTACATTGCATATATATATACATTAATTAGAACCCTGAGGTAGCATGCAGCTATTTTTGGCAAACATTCGGTTTACGGACATCCACACTTCGTGATGTTGCAGCATACAGCTGGAACGGACTTTATACTTTTTGGGAAGTCTATGTTAGTGGCATACACAAAGTTTGGACTTTTTTGGGCCATGCACTCGGGGAGCGAGGAAGGAGTTGGTTTCACAGCTGGGTGTTGATGTTGGCAAGCTCGCGGAAGGAGAGACACAGAGCCTTCGATTCGCAACGCGGCTCGGCGAACATTTGGCTTCGACTTGCCCGAGAGATTACCCCCTCTCCCACTAACATGGCAGCTGACAGGGGGTTCCCTCCAAGAAGAAACTGATCTTTCGAATACCCTCCCATGTTAGTGGGAGGGAGGGTATCGAGTTCAACTTCAATTTGCGTAAGAAGAAACATTTTGGTTTCCCCCTTATAATAGGTTTTAAAGGGAATGTATCACTACTGGGCATATGTCCCATTTTGGTTTCAGGGGACTCAAGCAAATGGAAGTTAAGAAAGTAAAGGTGTTGGCATGTTTGAAGCTCGACCTGTTCCTATTTGAGAGCTAGTTGGACAGGAAGTTGCGCACTTCCACGCAGACCAAAAGCCTTGTTACCTTGTTTATCTTGGCGTATGTCCCAAGTCTTTTTACAGCAAGGTGCCAGCTCTCCCCAAAGTTTCGGTCAGATCCCAGTGAATTTTGGGTGCCAGGAGTTTGAACGCCTGGTTGGTCGTTTCTGTTTTGGGGTGCCTGTCAACAGGACTAAAACCCGACTCCCCTGATGCTATGCGAGGCAGCACCCGAAGCTAGGGCTCTTTGCACCTCCCTCAGGAACCCAAGAAATCAAGTCATCATGTTGCTTCTAGAGGCATTGCACGTTTTGGCAATAAACGTCAATCAACTCCACAAGAAAGAGGTCATAACAGGTTTGTCACTGGTTCTGTGCATGGAAATACTTGGAGTCTTGGAGTCATGACAAAGTATGTTGAACAGTTTGCATCATACTCTCCGTGTCAGGGTGCCTTGAGCGTACGCGTTAGTTGACAAGCATCCTTTTTCCAGATTAATATTTCCCTGAGAAATGAGAGACCCCAATGGTCGCCTTCTTTCTGGCTATCAATGAAAATGGAATATATTTAGAATGCTCGTTAATCAATTGTTAGTTATTATGACAGCATCAAGTTTGGAACACATTTATCCACAATATGTTAAACAATTCACTAAGTGGAACAGTGATACTGTGGATGGACGAAATCCATTTCGCACCACTTGAGAACCGTGAAATGCTGATTCTCGTGCCAATACCAAAAAAGAGCGGTTTCAACCATGGATTGAAAGTGGTGCGAATTCTGGATTTCGCAACCATCCACATGGGCAAAAAAACACAACGGAAGCCTCCATGGCCGAAACACCCATCCACACTCAAGCATTGCTACACCCATGGAACCGAAAAACAGTAAACCCATGTATATGGGGGTTGATCAATATTCCATTTCGGGCACCCAAATGACCATGGGCTGTGGGTCAAGTCCTTGTTGAGTGGGGAAAGTCCTTTTTTTTTGTGGTTTCTCATGTGGCTGTGGGTCAAAACCAATGGTACTGTTTTGGGGGAGGTGCATCACCCATTTTAGAACCTATTTTCGTGGGGTTTGGGATGTTCACTGGCCATGTCTATAAGAAGAGTCCCTTTCCCCAGACCGGGCGCCGGGCTCGCCGAACGAAGCCCGATGCGAGGGCCTCGCCTCGAACCGGGGCCGGGCCTTGCAGAGCTGCGCGCACCAGTGAGGCGGGGGCGGCACTTGCTCGCCTCGTGAACCTGCATGCTAGCCCTTTGCTGGTTTTAAAAGGCAGCCAAAAGGATCAACTTCAGGATTCTGGAAGAGTTTTAGGGGTTGCTGCTACCTCGTATTTTCTGCGAAGGCATCCTTGTACTTTGGCGCCTTTTGCTTGGATGTTAGGACTTTATTTTTTTGCCAACTAATGGGTGTTCCATTAAACCCACTAAAAGTCCAGCTTTTAGCGGGGGAGCAGAAAGCAACCGAGGTTGGTTATCAAAGAAAGCCCGAAAGGATCAACCGGAACCTGTGGCAAGGGTATGTCGGAATGCGAATCTGCCAGTAGACAGGGTTTATATACGGAACATGAACAAGAAGAGAAGGCCCCATGTCAACATGTGGTTCTTCGTCTGCTGTCGGCGCACCACTTTTTCAAAAGGGGGTCCCCTTAAAAAGACACTCAACTGGGTTTTCCATGCAACCTACAAAATGTAATCGGTCTTTTGCGGAGCTTCTCTCCGGGAAGAGCAACCAAGGTGGGTGAAATCTGAACACCGCCATTCACTTTTTGGGCAGGGCAATTGCCATGCCGTCACGGGAATTGCATGATTTTTGTATGGTGACTCTTGCTTTGACTTGCGGAGGTGATCAGGTTCATAAACTGGGCTTGGTGTTCTTCATCCTCAAGGTCCAGGGGAAAATCTCGGTTGGATCCATTCCATGTTCCGGGTCATTCGTCCGGGGCTTGGAGCGAGCGAAAGCGAAGGCGGCCAGGCCCATAGATTGAAAGGAAAGCCGCAGGAGAATGATTAATAAAGCAGCAGCGTGTTTTTGTTTGAACATAACTTTGGTGCATTTTGCCAAGGGATGTTAGGACTTTGACTTTTTGCCAACTAATGGGTTTTCCATTAAACCACTAAAAGCTAAACTTTTGGCAGGGAAGCAGAAAGCAACCGAGAAAACTTTGGGCGCAATCCTTCTGATGCAATGGATCCCAAGATGTCCGGGGCATATCCTGTTCCCTCGCGAGCCCGCCCTGTTTGGACGTCAATGGATATCAACAGGAAATAAGCCATTTGCAGCAGTCCCGCGTGTTTGAGCACACCCACTTGGGTGTTTCTGTAAGTGGGGGGCCTCTGCAAATGGTTGGCCTACCGGCTTACCCTAGTTCCTTACTGACAAGCAGCCAGTCAGCACGTACCTCGATTGTGGCAACCTCGCAATTTGTGGTTGAAGTCTCCAATTATGGGTGTGACACTCAAGATCAAAGAGCTAGGGTTACGCAGGTTTTAGTCCTTTTTCCATTTACTCAGGTTCTTTGTGAGCCACGGCCATGCCCCCCTCCGGGAATTTCCACGGAAGCTCACAACCGACATGGGAAGGAACCGGACAGCCAAAGCACCCGAAGATCTGGCGCCTTCCAGCTCCGGCAGCGGCATTCGAAGGCCATCCAACAGCATTCCGCGCCGATCCTCACTGAAAACACCATGCATGGCTCCCGAAGGCGATTCATCCGGTTCCTGAGCTTTTCAGATCCTTTTAGTGTTGAGTGGCAGTTTCCATGTCACCCACTAAAAGATAAACTTTTGGTGGGAGATCTGAGGGCAGCCCAGATGAATCAGAAGAATCTTCGTGAATTCCAGTGATTTTTCCTTGTCGACTGCAATTGCCCGCTTGATTTGCTGCAATAAAGACGCATATCCAAGCGGAGCTTCCCACATGCCGAGAGATGGTTTTCGATGCTCGTGGGCCAATCGCCCGGTTTCATTGCAGGCGCCGTCGCGCCTGAAGACTGGGAAGACGCGAATTGTCGCTTTTGAGTTGCCTCGAGGCATGACAATCTTTATCCCTCCCAAAATGCACGGCAAACAAAACGGCTCTGGAAATTTCAAGTGGTTCGCCCTTTGCTCCGTAGCTCCTGTGACCTTCAAAAGTAAGTTGTATGGAAACCTGGGCTCTCGATTTTGGGAGGGGGCCCCATGAGATAGCCGGGGCCTCAGCTTTGAGGCGCAAGGAACGGTCACAGGAATGATGCTGCTTGGTGCTGGTGGTACCATTCATGCTTTGCAACTCGGAAACGAGTTGCACACACATTTTGTGACAATATCTTTGAGAGGACTGAGAACTCCTGTCCCCATGTTGACTAGCTATTCCTACTTGTGTTTGCCCCACCTTGCTGTGCCGTGACGCTTGGACGCTTGGTCGCTCGACCACGTGCAAGAGCATCATTTAGCGCTCGACCGCGCTTCGCGCTCGACCGCGAGAAAGATGCTGGTGAGGTGTGGCCACACGCACGCTGAACCTTTCATCACTTTGGATGGGCATACGTCAGAGGGTCGGCACCCTCGAGAGGTTCGATATCTGACTGAAGAAACTGACATAGGGGATCACAGCACCTTGAATGGGAAGTGTATTCCTGAATTGAGTGATTTCGATCTGCTTCACGTGCGATGTGAGGTAGAGCTGTTGGTTGTCTTGTCAACACTCTTCTGCTTGTGCGGGAACCCTCTACCCTGAGCGCTGGCCAGTTTGGTTGAGATGTTTGCTCATTGTTTGGGAGAAATACTGCGAGTGACTCAGCTTCTTGGATGTACTTTCATGAAGCAGAATCTCCTTCTTTTCATGTAGCCACTGCCCCTGCACATCTCCTGACTGTTTTTGAAAAGGATGTTTTTAGTGCTGCCTCCAAAGAGGCTGCGGCCGTACCTGCATGCGTCGGCAACTGTTGCATCCCGCTGCCAGCTCGGCCAATGGCATCGCTTCTAGCGACAGCTCGCGATGAATTAGGTCGCAGAGGTCACTTCTCCAGTCTCAACGGGTCAAAGTCAGCTTCGGAGACTCCCTTTCCTCCCCCAAGCAGGGACTGGCTTTTCAACCAGGGACTGGTGTTACAACAATGGCCCGTGCAGGTGCCTCATTTTCAGAACATGGATCCAAGGAGCCCATTTTCGGGACTTCAGGGAGCCTTGTAGAAATTTCAGGCGATTGGTTTGGTTTCCTTTGGCTTGAGACTTGTCCAAGGCAGTCGACTTCGTCGAACACATCCACCGACCAGAAAGGAGGGATTGCTCGATACTAGCTTTGGTCAAAGGAAGTGCACAGAAAGCACACAGCAAAGAACTGGAAGGGACGTCTGCCCATTTTCCCCGGTGAAAAGAACATCTCGGACGAGTCGATGGCGCCCGACTGTTGACGTCGGGGAAGTCGCCGAAGATGGCCGAAGTGGGCGGTCTCCAGCAGCTCGGATGGACAAAACAAACAAGGCGATGGGTGTCCTTTTTGGTTTGCTTAAAAAATCCAGGGCCCTGGTTTAGACGGGGTTTATTGCATTTGCCAGGGAAACCCATCTATTTTTTCAAAAGGCCACCTATATGTTCCCGAGATTGCGATCGGTGCGAGGAAGGATGCAGGGAATGAGAAATCGAAGGACTTCTATAAACCATCCAAGTGGTGGTATTCCTTGAACGGGACCCCAAAGCGTTTCATTCCATTTCTCATGACCTGTCGCACCAGCAAGGAGAAGCGTCCTGTTTTTTCCTTTTTGGCTCAACACGTGGAAGGAGCATAGCTGAGATGCAGAAGGGCGCCAAAAACGGAAACCATAATTGCATCGTGCAAAATCGACACCGGGCGCCTTTCACGACCCACCCGCCGGAGTAATGGGCCATTTCTTCCAGTCGGGGAATGAAAAGCGCACGCACCCCAGGCCGACCCTCTTGTTCTCTGTTTAGGTGTCGCCCTTGTTGCCATTCTCAGTGGGTTTTTTGTTGCGTGAACATCCAAGCAAACACCATGGGCTGGGCAAGCAAGTAGATGGGATTGGCGGACGAGGTGAGGTTTTTGGTCAGACGCAGATGGAAAGTTGCTGGAGTTTGGGCTGAGCCAAGCACAAGGCTTCACATGCCAGCACACTGTCCGTCCAAAGGGTGCATCCTGGTCAGCTGATCAAAACCCATGAACCACCATACGCTTGGTCCGCTTGGTTGCCATATGCTACACGTCCAACAAGCTTGGCAAGTTCTTCCTGTTGGCCAGTTGGCATGAGGAAATAATGTACAGAGAGGCTCTTTCTTATTTAGTTAGTAACAAGCGGATGAGTGATAGAGATGTCTCAAGTGCTGCTTAGATGACTGAACATCCTTGGACGCCCACCCTATGTTTTGCGAAGGAGACAACGAACCGCTCGTGCATTTCACCTGGAACTTCTCAATGGGTCCGCGCTTTGTTCCCTCGACACGGCCATTCAACCGATTCGGGCAAGTGCCTTACAGCGTTGAATCGGAATGATCACAAGGCCCCTTTGTATGGGTGTAGTTGTCACAAAATAGGACCCCCCAAAATGGGTTGCCCTGGCAATCGAAGTAATAGTAAGTCTAAAATTCCTGGTTTCGGTTTGACCCAATGCCCCTACCGTAGACCTGTCAACAAGCATAGGAAGACCCTTTTTGGTTGGTTTGCTTAAAATGGTTGGTTTGCTTAAAAAAATAGGGGGCCTGGTTTAGATGGGGCTTGTTCTATTTGCCAGGGAAACCCATCTATTTTTCCAAACGGCCGCCTAGGTCAACGAAATCCTGCACCACCCAACAAACCCTGAAATGATGATTCTCTAAATACCAACGCACGTTATGGCTTCAACCATGGTTCAACGTGGTGCCAACGGATTTCGCAACCATCCACAGTATGGCTGCCTTTTCTAGGGAACTCCCTTGTTGGGTTAAAGAGGAAACCAACAGGAAAACCACCATTTTGGCGTTTTTTTCCTTTTTTTTTTTAAAGACCCCCCTGGGTTAAAGAGGAAACCGACAGGAAAACCACCATTTTTGAGGTTTTTGTTTTTGAGACCGATCCGTATATGAGGATGAAAGAGAAAAGCATGGAAACCAGTCCACGAGGTTCCCTTAACCGCTCTGCTCAGAGAATTGTTCCACCTCCCAGGATTCGGATCACCGGGACGGAGGAGCGCAGTAGCAACCCGTGCTGCAGTCGAAGGAGAAAATATCTGGGCGAGTTTCTACGGGTAGCTTCCAGGTGTCATGAGGGGACTAGCCGGCTCCAAAGTGAGTTTCTAGGGGTAGCTTCCAGAAATATGTCTTCTTTCTAGTTTTCTAGGAAGAACGGGCGGATTGGCAAGCAACAAATGATCAAACTCCTGATTTACCACTAGAATTCTTGTGGTATTTTCGCATTCTTTCCAGGGATCCGAGTCTTTTCAGGAAACCATCTTAAAAACCCAGGGGAAACGGATCCGGTTTTTGAAAAAAACGATGGTTGAACAAAATGGGGAATCGACCCCTAGAGAGTTGGTTGGCCGATGCAATATTATGAGATCTCCAACCAGTTTTCGCTCTTTTTCCTTCTTTGTTTTGGCGGGTATACTAAATATGAAACAGAAGCTGAAAACTTGATTTTCTGTGTATCCCAGATGTTGGCCTGGATATGTGTTGGTTGCTGAAATGTGTACGCTGGTTTTGGCTTGCAAGGCATCAATTGCTCGAATCTAAGTGTTGCAGACAGATTACTGCAGTCGTCGTAGTTGTGAAAGTGATGAGTTGTGCTCGCTTCCCTCAAATTGTCCCTGGGCAGGAGAAGCGGTCGCGCTCACTCTGCATGGCCAGCCCAGAGTTTATGAAGACACAAAACAAGTCAAGATAACACATGTCAAGCGTGTCAATTACACGAGAATGTCCAGATGTTACGCGAGTCATCTATATTCTGTGTGGATCTTTTGTCATGGCCAAATTTCATGGCACGTATGACAGACATGTCGGTCTTTGCCCAGCCCGGCACAGTGCTTCTGTTACAAGAAATGTTTCACTCCATTTGCCCAATGCACCCGTATTCCAGAGTGTTTGGTGGGTTGGCCCTTTCAACCCAGAAATGTTCAAGGCGAGCAAGCCCCTGCTAGAACTTCTGGTGCTGAGCAAGATGGCACAGGGGAAGTCCAGCAACAAATTGCGTGAATCCAAGGCATGCTCAAGTCCTGGTGCGTGTACATGCTGGAAGTGAATGACTTCGGGCGCAAGCCTCTGAGCTGCAAGATTCTCCAAAGCCTCAGACCCCAGATCTTGTGTTGGCAGCCTAGTTTCTTGGTCTATGTGTCACATGAATCTTCTACCCCAAAAGAAAGCACAGGGAAAACACCCCAATCTGAATGGGGCTTTCATTCCGTGACACCTGACGATTTTCAGTTTTCTTGGGGCTGCCTCAACCCTGGCTAGGAGTTGAGCCGGTGACCATTGGCGAGAAGAGCACAATTTTGGCGAGGTTGAATTACCAACTTGGGCGATCTTGGGTGGCAGGGGCTGCATAATCTCAACGACTATTTACTTTCCTGTGGTCATGACTCAGCTTGGTTGTAAAGCTTCCGCAACCCCATGGATTATTTTTCAATACAAGGAATCCCTTTCCGGTCCCAGCACCCGAAAGGTCATTCCCTACCTTTAGCGCAGCAATATGATATCCATGTTGGCTTGCACACACACTCACACACACACACACACCGCCGGTTTCGCCGCCGAGCCTGCAGCTTTGCACGAAAGTACGGCACTTGAAGGGAACGGCTGGCTCACTGCATGTACCAAGGTCTGTCTGTTTTTGGACTTGACCCCCCTTTTTCGGTTGGTTTTAAAGGCACTGCATGTCTGTCTGTTTTTGGACTTGACCCCCCTTTTTCGATTGGTTTTAAAGGCACTGCATGCCAAGGTCTGTCTTTTTTTGGACTTGCCCCCCCCTTTTTGGGTTGGTTTTGAAGGGAAGTTGAATTGGGGGCCACGAAAAGACACCCAAGTGTCATACCGGGCCCACTTGCAAGTCACGACGCTCAAGAGGTCAGTTTAGTGGTTCTCCTGGCAACTATTCCCAATAGAGGTCCCTCATTCTGACATTCCCGTAAATACAGGGCGCTGACCCAAAAGAGAGGCCCCTTGTTTTGACATCATCCCGGGCCCGCATCAATCAGGTCTGTCCTTGAGAAGCGATTCGACGACTTCAGCCTGCTGCATGCTGACATGAAAGAGATCGATGCCGATACGTGCGGGTCCCAGAAAAAAAGGTTCAAGGAACAAGGAGCCAGTAGGAAACCCAACGAACTTGCTTGACTCGTTTCCCTCTAACCATCCAAGCGGGGTGCCCAATGTTGGGAAACGCCTGAATGTGGTCCGCTTTTGGATGCATGCTTAGTTTGGGCCGGCGGCCATTGACGACTTCAGGTACACTTGTGGTAAGATGGGGTCCAAAATGCTGGAGAATCCAGTGAGAAAAGTTGGCTGCTTGGTCCATTGGTCGGTTTTTCTTGGGACGCTGGAAGGCCTTCAAGCATTGGTACCAGGCAAATAATTGAACAACCCTCCAACCAAGGGGTGAAAAAGATGATTGCCCCCCGGTAAAGAGATAAGGGTTTTTCCTTTCTTCAGCGACCCAAGGGAATGAACAAAATGTTGCCCCCCCCCCCCCCCGTAAAGACGTGACCTCTTTGTGCTTTCTTCAGCGACCCAATCCCAGCAGGGTCTGTGTGTGTATGGCTGACCATTCCGAGAGCAAAGAAAGGAACCATTCTCAAAGCAAAGCAGGGTGCCAACGAAGACCAACGAAGACCTCGGACTTTTCTGGTGACCGCGAGGCAGTTTTTGTCGCCTTGGAATGCGCAGCTGGCATGTCTCAAAGCGAAAACATCGCCGGGTTCAGAGATAGATGTCATCTCCTTCCGGGGTTGCAGGTGCCCTCTTCGAGGTCGGTTCAAAGGAAAAGAAAAGGGACACCAGGCATTTTTGGCTTTTGACATACGGGGCGTTCTCAGAATAGGACACCCCGAAATTTGGTTAGCATCCTCTTGGTTTTCCTCGGATATATATATATATATATACATAGCAAAAAAGGGGTGATACATCGAACACCCTATAGACTCAGAACCACAATGCGGGTTCATGTTTGTTTCTGCCCCAAAGTTTTAAAAAAAACAAAGAAACACAACAACAGTGGTTCATTTCTCGAGAAGGAGAACCCCTGGGTTTACGTCTACAATGGGGTAGTCGCTGATAAACTCACTAAATAATTATGGTTGTTTTCCTTGTTGCTCCCCTCTAACGTAGTGAAAAGAGGGACGTAATTCTGATATTCTGTTGGTTTCCCGTTGGTTTTGGGTCTTATTTTGGCTTCCCTCCGTTTTGAGAACGCCCATATCCGAAGAGTGTGTCTCAAAATGGGACAAGCCAAAATGGGTGTTTGTTCATTGATTTCCCCTTAATCCTCCCCAAAAAGGGAAGTGTGAAAAAGAACATCTCCATGTGGGTGTGTCTTTTTTAGGCGACCTGAAAAGTGGTGGTTTTCCGGTTGGTTCCCTCTAAACCAACCCAAAGCAAGAACCGAAACATCCCCATACTGTGGATGGACAAAATCCTGCACCACCTAAGAAGCCCTTGAATGATGATTCCCCTGTAAATGCCAACAAGCACTGGTTTCCCATGGTTTCAAAGCGGTGCGAAATGGATTTGGTCCATCCACAGTAGGTGACCTTTTGGAAGAAATAGATGGGTTCCCCTGGTAAATGGATGGCGTAAACCTATCTAAACCAGTGGAACCCATCCCCTATTGGTTTCCCTTAGGAAAATATGTTCCCCAGTAGTGCCCTTTGACCAACTTTTTTTGGGGAGGGTTCCCCTACTAAAATAGACTACAGAAAAACGGGCACCTTTATTCTAACCTCTCTACTGGAGGACCTAGTGACGTTCTAACTCGGAACGGGCTGTCACTTCTTTCCGTCTGAAAGGCCCCCGTTGCCGGAGAAGAAGTTCATGGCCTCCACGGATGCCTCGGCGCGGACGCCGAGAACAGTTCCGGGAAGAAACAAAATCGACGCGGGTGCCTGACCCTTGCTTTTCCGTTGTTGGATCATGTTATTATTATTATTTGTGATAATAATATGTGATTATTATTATTATTATTATTTTGTAGGGGGCTGTACAAAGCAAAGTTGTTTGCAAGCCCATACCGAGGTTACGTAAAAAGGCCCCTTGTTGATTTGGCGCTGGGTCGCGAGTCACGGGCCCTTCAAAAGTTCACGCCAAGCTTGGGTGTTGCCTGCGACAGGGAATTCCAGGAATTCCCGGCCTTCTTTCCTTGAAAGGTTTTCAGGTTGCCCCTGCAAACCAAGCGCAAGCACAGGCACCCAGAAAGGTGGCCCCATATGTTTTGACCCAAACCCCCAGGGATGTTGCACCCAGAAAGGTCCCTGGCAGGAAGTTTTGACCCATTTGGGCCACCCAGAAAGGTCCCATGTCAGGGCCTGCCCAAATCTGGATTCGAGCCAGCCCGCATGGGCTTGGCTTGTTCAAGGGTACTTGGGTATGGGTCAAAATAGAACCACCACGAATCGGACCGCATGTTCTAGTCCATGTTTCTATTTACCAGGGTTCCATTTTGGGTACCGATTTTTGGTCCGCAGCCACTTGTTTGTGCTTGTTTCTGCGAGCGGCGATCCCCATGGCAGTCCTCGCCCATGTCCCAATCCAACCATTCCCGTGAGCGTCCTAAGTTCTGATGGAAATTGCAAGGTAACTTGGCCAATGGCATTGCCCCAGTTTCCCAATTGAGTCTTTGCTTGGGGTTTCCGCTTGCAATCCAATGCTTAAAAAGATAGGAAATTCTGCATACCCAAGAAGAAAAGTGGGGGGCAACCGTCCCAAAGTGGTGGGAACCTACCCCGAAAACCATCCAATACCAACAAGGGGCGTTCACAGGTGTTTTTTTAAGGTTAGTTTGATTAAACAAATGATGGGTTCCACTGGTTTAGGTGGGGTTTCTGAACCATTTACCAGGAAAACCCATCGATTTTTCCACAAGGCCACCTATGGGGGCGCGTTTTTCTTTCCCCGGTTTCTAGCCTAGGTGGTGGCCGAACGCCGCCCGGCCTTCGAGCGGATCTTGAAACATTTGCTGAAGAGCGAGGCGGCGGTCATGGAGATGCCTGCCCTGAAAATGATATGGGTATGAGTCAAAATAACACCACCAGGGGACCGCATGTTTTAGTCTTTGGTTCCATTTACCAGGGTTCCATTTTGGGTACCCATTTTTGACCCACAGCCATATCGCTGCCTGGGTGTTGCTCGAATCGCTTTTGACCGCTGATATAACCCCTCCCCAAAGAAAACAATGTAATGGATCAGAGAAGTCCCCCTGCTTTAAAGGAATCCCCACTAAACAGGGACAACCCTTCATACGATGTGGGGGTTTCTCAGGGGTGGACATTGGCAGCGGTTTCCCTTTTGTAGGTCTGGTATTTGTGACCTCGGCAAGTCTCTCTTTTGCTGCTTGCCCGTCCTTGAATTATGCAGGCAGATCCTCATACCCATGATTGATGCTTGTATTTTGCACCTTGCTTTGTGCTGCTGGATCTGCGACGCGAACCTGACACAAACTCGGATCCGAATCTTAGAGCCGACCTTGCACGTGTTTTGGCACCTCGAACGCCTTGCTAAACTCAAGCAGCCCTGGTGCAAGCACACGTGCCGTAGCGTGTGCACGGAAGACCATTCATTTTCTTAACCTGGTGCAGCTTGCATTCTGTTCGACACTGTTCAACCTGTACAGCAATAGATTTCGAAACCGCATGCCGCTTGATGGGAGTTGTGATTTTCTGACGGAGCCTGCCAACGTGGGAGAATCGCTGCGAGGCACTCCATGGCACTGGGGTGTTTTCCGAGTTTCAACACGGGGAACTCCGGAATTGGAGACTGCATGGAAAGCGGTCCTCCTTAAGCACGTAGAACATGCCCCACGAACTCTGTGAGGTTTGCTTTAAACCAGCGAATCGTGTCTTTTGCCTTCACAGCAAGCCACGAATTCAAGTTTCCCTCCAAAGAAAGGCTTCCCTACACCCTTCGCAGCAAATCCTTAAGTTGCCAGCTCCATTCCAAAGAAAGGCTTCAGGCTTTTTGTTATACAACAGCCCATCGCAGCAAATCCTGAAGTTTCCAGCTCCAATCCAAAGCTACGAAGCCAACCCTCCATTTGCTTAAGAATATATGTTCTTTTTTATTTTTTGTTAAAGTCCCTTGTTGGTTTTACCAGGAATTCATCACTCGTGGACATAGTTTCTCGTTTTTTTCCTGGGGCCTTCACCAAATGGACGCCCAGAGCCAACTCGGATCGAGGAAGAGCCAAACGGTCTTCAAGTTCCTGGAGCTGCCGACCCCTGCGGTGGTGGCCTTCAGCTTCTCGGCGAAGAACGCGCGGGGTTCGGTGGAAGCCGTTGGCAGGCCAACCCAACCAAGGCGCCCAAGGCGCCCTTTGCAGTTTTTGACCTCAACCCAACCAGGTTCTTTGAGGCGACATGAGGCGACCCTCGAGGTTAGTGGGTTTTGAAGGCTGCAAGTCTACTAGGGAATGTTATTTTGATTGTTTCTGGGGAAGCCTGCGCGGGGGTTCGGTGGTGGTTTTCCGGGGGGAGGGCGGGGACCCATTCCGTGGGTTCAACTGCAACAGCTTGCAGGGATCAGAAGCTTTGGCATATTTTTTCTCGGCCCAAGTTGTTTTGGAAACACGCACGCCAAGGCTTTCTTTCAACCCAAGCTGGTTCAAAGCGACCCTCGAGCTGCAAGTTTACGAGGGCCATGATGTTGATTGTTTCTGGGGGTTATCAAAGTCAGAAAAAGGGGTTGTTTCCCTTTAACCTACCACTTAGGGGCTGACTATGATCATGATAAAATAATGGGGCCAGAGTTCAGGTCCCACCTCAAACTTGTGTCAAGCGACCTCAAGTAACTCTGCTTCGCCTCGCTCTTTGTATTGGAAAATGGAAGTATGGGTCCAAAACATGGGTCGTTCGGGGCTCCAAAACCAGACAATGGATCAGCCTCCAAAGGAGGACTACTCCTTCCTGCTTTGTTCCAGGAGTAAAAGCGCAGCGAACCCGAACGGGCTGGAAGGTGCTTCAGTCAGATAAGGGGTTGCGTTTGTTTTGTTGGAGGTATCTTTTTTGGGGTTGCTGCAAGGAGAATCCAGTTTTTGTGCTGTATCTTTTTTCTGAGTTGTTTCAAAAAAAGGAAACGTACATTTTGCGGGGGTTCCCCACTTTGACGCACACCCAGAAGCTGTTGATGTTATCTGGGGAGCGGAAGTACATCTGAACACATCGCTCCAGCTCGGTGGGCCTGTCCCCAGCTTTCATGGTTGTTGTTGGGAAACATTTTGCAAACATGTTTGCTTATTGTGGTTGAGTGGTTGAAACAAATCCAACTCCACTGAAATGCTAGAACTTGAGATTTGTTGCTCCCCTAACCCAACGTCACCCATGAGATGCCATAGTCTTTTCCCGCTTAAACTGTCAGCTCTTGTGCCAAAAGCGTTTTTTTCTGCTGGGGTGGCATTGGAAGGGTAGATTAAACTATGTTCAAGGACCCGTGGGAAAGTTTTGGGCCCAGTCAGTAAGGTATTTTAAGCCTCAGTCCTACCCACTCATAAGTTTTTCCAACGGGAAGTTCACCCGCTTAGGTGGCTGCAACCAAGGAGGCTAGCCACTCAACTTGTCCCCACATCCTAAGCAGCCAGTACTTTGCAAATCAACTCCGGCTTATTAATAGGGTGTCCCTGGTAGTGGGGAATCATCACTTTTGGAGGCGAACACCCTATTTATGAACCGGGGGTCAACAAATCATTGCTTTCCAAAGCGAGCACCCGAAGCGTTCACGGAGGATATCTTTTCCAGCACGACCGCATCTCCTGCGCACGGCAATGCGGCAAGTTGACGGATCCCAAATGGGAGAAGGAGCGCGGGGGGAGGAATGAGACAAAGCTTCCCTTTGCCACACATGGCCCTGTGACTGGCTGCCCAAGGCTGGAAAAAAGGGCAACGAGTTACCTTTGTGAATTTGTTTTTGCAAAGCACCAGTAAGCAAAGCCGGGTGGATGATGTTGATACATAACTAAGGCTAGTGTTATGTGTGTTTGCTCACAAAGTTGCGCGTGTATACACATGTTCATGCAGATATGTATACGCATGTTTTGCACAAACACATAGATGATTGAAACCATGTTTCTTTCGCTGCCAGAGCCGGGCAGGCGCAATTCGCAGACCCATTGTATCCATTTGGTGGCGAGAAGATCGAGCACCCGACCCTATCCGATTTGAGAAGGGATCATTCCCTTGGTGTAGGGAGTGAAGTGGCTGTAAATATCTCCCGAAGTTGATTTTTAGGGGGTGCTCCATTTGCCTGAATTCACAGATTTCTCACCCGGACAGCCAGTACCAAGTGAACGAATGGTTGGCAGAGACACTAGCCTTGACCAGTTTGGGGTTGTGATTTGACTGGCCCTTGATTCTTGTCTCACTGGTTCCAGAGATGAATGGTTGGCAGAAGCATCCAACCTAAATGGGTATGTCTCAAATCTGGGACCCTGTCACACCCGTTGGGTTTCCTTCCAAACCATTTGCTCGAGGTCCGAGCGCCAAATCCGTGGATTGATTCTGCGGGCTGAGCGTTTTTTGCGGTCGAAGGAACATGCCTACCGATTGGCTCACCCTGTGATGGTGCGGACCAGCCTTCAAATGCTGCTGGAAGGCGCGGGCAGTCGTGCTCAATCTCCCGCCAATTGGCCGTGGCTCAAAGAACCGGTAAACAAACAATAGAACCCTGGTAAGTGGAAACATGGACCAACACCTGAGGTTTGCCCCTCCTGTTGAATTTTGCGCCACACCCAATTGGTAATGGGTTGCATAACCTATGGCGATCCCATTTTGGGGTGGAACATCCATTTGCCACCTATTTTGATGTTCACCAGGGTACAGGGTTTCGAGCCAGCGCCAATTCAGCGATCTGTAAAAAGGGGTGGTCACCCTGTGTGATACCAAAGTACCGCCTTGCGTGGCAAGATAGCCATAGGGATGGCACCATGTGCTTTCACAGAAGGAGAATTCTGCCGCAACCCCATTCCTGGAGGTTATTTCTGCTCAGCAATCCGGGATACGTTACGCTCTTGTGCTGTCAACTTAGTGCGTGCAGTGTCAAGAGCAGTTGAACGTGTCGTCAGCGCTGTCAGCCCCCCGTGAACAGCTCTCCAGCAGTCCTCCCTACAAAAGGTCACAGGTCATATCAATTTCGGTCTCAGAGTCAGCGCCTGGGTTGTAGACAGGCTGCTGTAAAGCTCAACGACGCATTTGATGAGTTTGGAGGTTCGTGGGCCATTTGTTGTTGCTAAGGATTTTTCTGAGTGAAACACCCTTGCATGTGTGCAGTACAGTGGTGCATGTGCATACACACCGTTTGCATCTAGGCCCAAATAGTGAGAGTGAAAGAAGAGCGCGCGGTTTCATGGTTTTGTGTTGGTGGTAGCGGAGCTACCCTGGCAACAAGGAGGAAGAGTACGCCAAACGGCGAGACTGGTGGTGGGCGACCCGCAAATGGGGGCCCCTAGTTGTTTTTCTCCTAGGTTTGGCGGGCTGGGTCGTGGAAGGGTCGTTGGTCGGTCGGTCGGTCGGTCGGTCGGTCGGTCGGTCGGTCGGTCGGTCGGTCGGTCGGTCGGTCGGTCGGTCGGTCGGTCGGTCGGTCGGTCGGTCGGTTGGTTGGTTGGTTGGTGGGTCGCGCCGAACCTAGGAAAAAAATAAGCTTCTCGCCAAGCAGAGCTACCCTAGCAACAAGGAGGAAGAGTATGCCAAATGGCGAGAGTGGTGGTGGGCTACTTGCCATTATTTGGTGGCCTTGGGCGCCGGCTATGATTCAGAACGGAACTTGAACACTGTCATTGGTTCGAAGACGTTTGGTGCCGAAGCCAAACCCAGACTGTATGTTGTGCTTGTCAGTTTGATGCAGCGTAGACCTTTTTAACATTTGAGAAGTTCAGCAGCGCAGATGGTTATGAGGGCTTGCGGCGTATCATGCTTAAACTTCAGCCGGCTACGCGTACACGAGCTTTTGTAAGTTTTGTGTGAAATCCGCAACCATGGGAAAGCAGTTGGTCTTGATGCAATGGGGGTTCTTTCTAAACATTACATGCTGCCCTTTCGGCGTTCTGCATCTCCAGTTTCGCGCGTGCTGGAATCTGCTTTTGCAGGCTTTGAAAAGCCTGCACTATGGATACAAAGCGCAACCGGATCACGAGTCTGGAAGAGACGATTGTGGATATTCGTTTAGCTCTGATCTCAGTGCAGGGTCGTGATTTGTTCAGAGAAGACCCAGACATGACCGATTTTCCTTTGTTTGGTGATGGCCCCAATGTAGGATCAGGACCTTCAAGTGATGAGTCCGAAGACTCTCGTGAAGAGCCTGAGCCTGAAGGACAGCAATCTTTGGTGAACTGATGTTTTTTAGTAGCCACCACTTAGGCGAGGTGCTAAGGATTTTCCTCAATGAACCACCCTTGCATCCGCGCGGTACAGTTGCGCATGCGCACACGCTTACATCTAGGCCCAAGTGGTGAGGCGCGGTTTCGTGGTTTTGTTTTCAGTTTTGTATGAGCATGTTTTGTCTGAGTGATTCTGAGTGATCTTCTTTGTCCGTTGGCTTCTCCGAGCACGACAAATTACCCTTGACGTCTCAACGCCAACACGTTCACTTGAATCTAAGCACCCCGTGACTGCCATGGCATGCTAGTACTTTTCTCCGATACTCATGCCAAGTATTTGGTTATCTCATTGTTTAGGCCTTTGTAATATTTTCTGCGTATTTTACAGCGAACTCACCTGGAATTATAACTAAGGGTCCTTCACTCGGGGATCCCTTAATTCAACTTTTGGAATTCTTGTGAAACCCAAAAGATTGGATTATTCCAAAAGTTGAATTGGAGTTCTTATTTCCAACACTTTTGGAATTCAACTTTTGGATCCCTAAATTCAATTATTGGCAGATTATATGGTTCGGCCCTCCTCACACAGCATTTTCAACGCAGGCGCTCTCCAGGACTCCCGAGAGGAGGCCTGGCTCGCTCACCCGGCGGAAATCGGTCGGAGCTGGTCGCAACCTCTTGTAGATGTTGGGTCCCTGAAGAAGGCAAGAAAAGAAAGAAAGGCAGGTATGATGTTTGATTTCTAGTTTCCCCACACCCCAAGTTTAGGCAAGTATCAGAAGGTAGGCCCAGCAGTGTGCACTTCGCCGCTTCGCCCCACAGACGAAGCGGGACCCCGCCGTTCTGGCGGATGCGGAAGCGGCGGTGCTTGCTGCTGGGATGCACTTGCTGGCGTGGCAACATGCCAAAGGGTCGATGCGCGTGACAACGCGTTCCTCTAAATGTTGCCTCTTAAGCATTCTGCACTGACTTTGCTTGGATCACCTGGCAATAAACTGAGCCAAGCTCACCCGTGCTCAAGGCTTTTCACATGAGTTCCTCAGTTTACTGCAGAGGCAAGTCAGCATGTGTGGAATAGGATTGCGGCCACAAGGTTTGAGGGTATGCAACAATGTACTGGCATCTCGCAGGAAGTCGGAGTGGAAAGCGAGCCTATTGCTTCAGGAACAGGAAAGTGCTCACACCCATTGAGCTGGGTGAATTATAAAGACCTCACACGACTTCACCCCAAAACGTGCCACCCAGATTGAGGAGATTTCGCTATGACATCATATGTCACTAAGAAGCCGAGGCATGCTGATGTAACGACAAGGAACATGCGAATGCGATCAACAGAGATGCGATGATCATGCGGTTTTTTTTTGTGCAGCGCGAATACAACTTTGCCGAGGCTCTGCTTGGATACAACTACCGAATTTGAAGGTTGTACCTTCCCCATTCTTTCCAGGGATCCTTTCTTTCTAGAAAACCTCCGGAAACCCAGGAAAATAGATGGTTTTGGAAAAGAACGATGATTGAAAATAATGGGGAGTCAACCCCTAGATTTGTGCGTAACATGTTTCACCCGCCTACCAAACTCTGATGGATCCGTTTCACTCTTGCAACTGAGAAACCACGCAGACTATGATTGTGTTGACCATTTTCTGAGCGAAAACTCCTTCGAAGAATGTGCGAGTCTTGACAGTACCATGCTGGTTTTTGTTCAAGGCATGCACGTGTACTTGCCGGCATGGAGATTGACGCTTCCAACCATGTATACTTCCTGTGTGTAGTACTTTGACCCCTGATCAACAGCCCTCCTCGTTTCGTCAAAAAGGGTCCTGTTTTGGAGATTGCTTCCAGGGGCACCCCCAGAAGAAAACGCGGGCGGGGGATTAGTTTGTAGTTATATAGTAGTTTGTAGTTTGTAGTTTGTAGTTTGTAGTTACTAGTAGTAGTAGTAGCAGCAGCAGCAGCAGTAGTTGGTATTTGGTAGCTGGTAGTTGGTGGCAAGTAGTTGGTAGTTAGTAGTCAGTCAACAGCTAAGGAGATGCTGCGCTTTGCCGTGCAGAGCGAGCAGGGCCGCCAGCCGCTTGACTTGCAGAGACGGGGCAGGTGAAAAGGGTGGAACATGTAGCGCAGATGTGACGTCAGCCGACAGTTTCTGATTTGCTGCACTTGATCTCGCGCGAACTTATGGACTTCAACGTTTTGGGCGACCATTTTTAGTGGCAAGCAAAAAAAATGGACCTCCTTTGGCAGGTCAACTCAGGAAGTGAGTGATTGATCCTTCATTTGCTTGCTTCCTTGTTTGGTTTCTTTGGGCCTGTGTTAGGTCGCGCGACCTCCGAGGTGTTTTCTGCAAGAAAAGGGCCCGGCGACGCTCCTGAGCTACATCTTCCGGAAAGGCAAAAAGGACGGGGTTGATTCCAACTTCTTTTCAACCATCCTTCTTTTCAAAAACCGGATCTGTTTCCCAGGGGTTTGGGTTGGATAGAAAGGATGCCTGGAAAGAATGGACATGGAACCTACCCCTAGAATTCTGGAGGGTTGCCTTTGGCGGCTTTTGACGGGGATCTGAAGCCTAGTTCTTCATGGGGCGCTCCACCTCACCCCTGAAGCTTCAGAGCCACAAAAACATGTGGGGCGGTGAACGGTTGCGGTCCCGCCACTTGCAGGGTTGAAGAATTGATGACTTCTGCTGAACCATTTGCTCAAGACCATGTTTTTTGTTTCTTCTCTTTTTCTGTGGATTTCAAAAAGAGTCTATCACTACTGGACGTATGGTCATTTTGTCCATGAGACCTAAAGCAAATGGAGGTATGGGGATGGTATCAGGGAGACGTTGATTGCTTCTTCTGTTGTGAACTCATCGTTGCCGCAAAACCGCGAGCAAAAGCTTCAAGTGGTTCTTTGCATGAGGAATCCCTGGCTGTTGGCTGCATGCAGGGGTGACACCGGGTATGAATGTGTCGAATGGGACAAGCGCGACAAAGGCTGCAATACCTTCGTTGAGCGAGGTGAAATGCTTTGGGCCAGGCAACTGTCGCTCCACATCCCCTGGTCTCAGTTGACTTGTCGCGATGGCACGGGGCATATCACAAGGCCAGGTGGAAGCAAAGATGTCGCACGAAACCAAACGACACCTTGGCTTGGCCGGGCCTGTTCGGCCTAGCGGCCTAGCGGGAATGCAAGATGCATGGCGGAGACGGCGAGCTCATAGCATAGCAAATGTAGCACTGCCAAGCATGTATTTCTCATTTCGAGTGATGTTTTCTTCCCAAATTCGTCAACCCCAGTTTGATAGGGGTGCCCCCCCCCTTCACACCCCTTTTAATAAAAACTGAGGTTGGTTAATATGGGGTCAGCGTTACACAAGATTCGCGTTTACGCTTGGTGCTTCAAGGGCTTGACTCTGTGGATTGACTTTGCCAGTTGCGACTGAATTGCTATTCAGGGTATCCATGTTGGCTGCCAAAAAGAGTATCCAAAAAGAGGTATCCAAAAAGAGGTATACACAAAACAGGGTATCCAAAAAGAGGTCTTAGTGTTGGTTGCCATGGCTTGGTTTCGTTTGTGCCATGTGGGTGTTGCGAATGATGACTCTCAGCTCTTGGGGCGAATCGAGAGCTGCAGGAAGAAAATGCTGGGCCAGACCAGCGCGCCAGAGGCCGGCGAGACGGCTGGGAGTTCCACCTGAAACCGAGAGGAATGTCTTCACTGGATACTTCGATTTGGCTGTGGGTCAAAAATAGGCTTTCCCCAAACTGGAACCATGGCAAATGGAGCCAAAGACCAAAACCTGCAGTCCCCTGAGGGGTTTAATTTTGACCCATACCCACTTGGATTTGTTGCTTTGCAACTTGCAACACCGAATCCTAAAGCCCAAAAAGCTGAAGGGAAAGGAATTTTAGTTCGCCTTCTGCAAGACACGATCTTGGGTAAGTCTTCCATTTGACATTCTTGCAGTTCAGTCGCCATTGCTTTCCGGATGTAATATACAAGTCAGCGCCGTGCAGCCTGGCCATTCGGAGAACCAAATTCGCTTGGAAGGTCGATTTGAACACGAAGATTTGATGTATGCAGTAATTTGCAAGGCTGTCACACAAGCCGTTCGGTCCTGGCTTTGCAAAGTGAGTCCAGACTGCTTCACAGGGCTGCAAGAGGTGGGAATTACGGCAGGCAGATGTCCTGAAAAAGGGACAAGCGTCTTTTCGGTGTCTGGATCGCACCAATTGAAAGACTCCCGCACTTGGGCGGTTCGCCTTAAATCCGTCTGACTGCTGATCCAACCTCTACTTTTGGTCGGAGCCTTTTCCGCAAGGTTTTTGTGGAATACCAGTTCATGGACAACCCATGGGCTGTCAAGTGAGGTTCTATAAAACACATTGAAGCTAAGTATGCGGAGGACCCGCGTGTCCGAAACTGTCCCGTGTATTGATCGATTGTGGAAAGCAGCCTTGCCAGCTGGAACAACACAGCTTGTTGGGCAGCAGGCAGGCCAGACTTGTTAGCAGAACGAAAATGATAGAAATCGATAGCAGAAGTGATACTTGTTCCGCACAAATTGCCCTTCGCGCTTTTTACGCCTTTCCTCACATCCGAACGTTTTTGGATTAGTACATGTGTAGCACACGAAGTACACGTTGGAAGCTCCAGCTTGTAAATTGCAACTGTCTTTTCAGCAGATGTACGAGGTTACAATTTCGGGGCTTGAAAATACACAGAAAGCAAAAGTGCAGAACACCGTCAAAATGAAGATCCGAATTTGATATCCTAAAGGGGGGCCACCACAGAATTTTGGTTTGTTTTGTGACAGCCTCGACTGTTTAGCTGAGGCAAGCCCAAAACAAGGTCGCGCCGCTGTTAGCGGCCCCGCTGAATTTGCATTTGCCGTGTGATTTGATGCAATTCAACCCTTTCAGCACTTTGTGAAATGTTGCATTTTGAGGCATGCTGAAATGTCCCACGTTTACCATGACATTGACAACTTTGTGGCTCATTTCTACTGGGCAAACACAATTCAGGGGCAAAGGCTAGGGCGAAAAAAAACGGCTTCAGGCATGTCCTCGCGCCAGCTTGCCTAACTCTTGCAACATGCAACAGGCTCTGTTGGCTTGTGTTGCACCTTAGACATACGAGTAGACGTATGGCGCCTGGTGCGCGGACGCAGAAGTGCAGCGGACGCAGTGGGCCGGCGATTCAGAGAAGATTGCAGAACGCAGGTCCAAAGGAAGCAGATGAGCGATGAGGCTCTAAGACAGCAAGCCGCAATGGGTACCGTTGGGTACCTATCTTTCAGCAAGGACGTTTGCCGAACGAAGTCCAAGGCAGGGTCCGCGCCTGGCAGGCGCTGCGCTAGATGAAGGTCCTCCAGGCACAGCAAGGGCACCGCGAAAAACAGGACAGATCCCGAAGCGCAGCAGGCGCGGACGAAAAGCCAGCAAGACGAAGCAAGATCACGAAGGAAAGCGCAGCAAGAGAAGGCAGACACAGAATGAGGCGAACGGCAGTCGGACGCACAAGAGTGCGTGCAGATGCGAACAGTATTATCTCCCCCCCCCCACCCCCCGCCACCCACCCCCCCTCCCAAAAAATGAGAGACAACAAAATGCAAATTCCCTGGGGCCGCTAATGGCGACGTGAGCCAAATTTAAACAAGGACACTTGCATTTGTCTCTCACTCGCGGCTCGATGTTATGTTTTTCTTGTGGGGGTATGCTCAGATAAACGCCGAGCAGAGCGCAGCTTGTCGAAAAGTGTCGAAAGGGGACTTTTTTCTTTATAAGCTTCGCTTCAATTTCGGCGTCCCCACCTTCCCAGAGGTGCAGTTTGCTTGGATGTGAGGACTTTAACTTTTGCCAACGAATGGGTTTCTCATCAAACCGCTAAAGGTTAAAACAAATAGCAGAGCAGAAAGCAACCGAGTGGATTCCGTTTCCAAGACATACCCAGCTGAAGGGCGCCCGCGGCCCGCGCCCGCCTGAGGCGTGCTGAACGCGCTGATCAAGGTGGAGGGGGACCGGTTCCCTCAGGTCATGGCGGGCTTCCTGGAGCACGGAGGCCGGGCCGTGGGGAGCTGGGGGAGGCAGAAAGCTAACAGAGAGAAGATGAACACGTGTATATATATATATATATCATTATTTTATGTATATATATATATATCCATATTATGTATATATATAGATATTTATGTGTAGGGGGACTTTTAGGGTCACCCAGGTTGGCACCAACAAATGGATGCATCAATCGGGAATTAGCTCAAATTATGTTTTTTACACTCGGCAAGTTCACGCCAACCGCATTCAGCATGCAATTGCAACCCGTTCCCCATTCATTGAATCTAGGTCTTTTCTGGATATTTAGCTTGGTGGATAATAGCCTGCGAAGCTATCAACTGCTACCATCGCAAAAGCACCAGCGACGCGGTGCAATCAAACACCTACAAAGCAGCCTGAGTTTGCGAGTTCGAAGAATATACTTTATCCGGTGAGTCGGATGAGCATGTTTGTAGACACCTTGCGTGCGCCCAACAAATGACGAATCAACAAATATATCAGGGCAACACTGCGTGCGCGTTTCAAAAAAACCGGTGTGCCAATTGAACGAAGTGGCGTTGTGTCCAGGACATTGCATCTTCATCCAAAAAGCAATGAGTCATTCTTGGGTCTTCCCCTGCAAGGCACTGTTGACTACCAAGATCTCAATTCAGATTCAGTAAGACGCACTGCTGCAAATACGAGGTGAGCTCAGTCAAAACACTGGAGACAAGCCGCTGTGGGTCCGGATCCGGTCGAGCTGGTGAAAAACACATCATGGGAAAGCTGCCAAGGGCATATATTAGAGGCTCTTGTCAAGCAAGACAAACGATTCTATGGCATGTACCTTTTGGGCAGACGAGCCACTGAGGGCGGGTTGACTCACGAGCTCAGGTTTCACGGAAAAAACATAGGTTTTGGGGTGTGCGTGATTCATTCATCGCGCACGAGCTTCTTATGCAATGCAGCGCCGCAAGCTGGCTGGGCACACGTTCACGCATGGCATAGAACTCGAGTACGCGGCTCATATGATCATCTTCATAAAGAATAGTCAAAACGCGCATGGCCTTCTGATGCCTTCTGGCTACATGGGGCATGAAAAGCAATCAGGAGCTCAATAGGTCCAATTATCATGAATTACACGCACAGTCAACGCAGCTAGCAAGCACGATCAGCAATCTAATCATCGCAGCGATCGGCACGAAATGGCTCCTGGCGAAGGAAACGCTTTAGCTCAGAAAGTCCTGCGTGCCTCCAGCCATGAGGCCCCTACGACACCCATATAGAAAACCAGGAAGTGTACAAACGTTACATCCCGTAGTTGTTTTGTTTTTTAAAGCTGGCACGAGTCATCCTACCGGGCCTGAGAAGCAGGCAATGTCAATCATACAGATTCTAAGCATCATGATTACGTCGCTGGGATGCTTGGCCCCCAGCAAATGCACGAGAAAAACAACAAAAGACTCCATCATTCAACTTCAACGATCAGTGTTTTATCTTGTGTGTTAGTCCAAAGGGGCCATGTCCATATGGCTACGTTGCCTAAACCAGGCTTTACACCAAGCCCCTATACAAACAAAGGTCGAGCAAAGCAAAACAAAGGTCGAGTCCTAACCCCCTTTGTTTTCAAGGGGGTTGAACCCCAGGGCATAGTTGTGTATGTATACACACATGCGTATGTATACATGATTTAGACATGTATATACATAACATATAGATGTAGATGACATGTGCACGTCATGCTTGTTCTGGGTACTTGCAGGGAAGATGGGAGTGACCATTCAAAGCATTCTGTGGACAAACCAAATCATCACTTGTGACGACTTGCCTACTAGGAACCCCAGTGCAAGTGTTTGAGGCACCCGAAGTTGCCCTCTTCACCTTCTACAGGTTCAATCTGTCATTTTTGCCATGCCTCGGAGTCGAGAGTGGTATTGCGGGCTGTGGAAAAGCCGGCCGGAGTTTGTGGGGGTGGTTTAGACTGGCAGATCTGTGCTTGGCATTTGGCGAAGCAAAAGGCAGGAGCTTCGCTGTCGCCATGCTCCCGGAAAACGGTGGATCTTCCGCACTTTCTCAGACCTTCCAGCCAGTAGCTTGTGCAATAGCTCTGTTGTTCAGTGGCACCAGTTCGGTTTTCCTTTTTATTGGTGGCTGCCCCACTAAAAATGGTCTTCCCCAAAAAGGGTTGCCTTTTTTCCAGGGTCACTGAACAACTGAGAATAGGCTTGACAAGAGGGTGCTTTTGTTTTTACGAAGCCCGATGAACAGGGGGGGGCACTCCCACGGCCATCTCCGCGAGCCTTTTTGGGCTCGCAGAGGAAGGACCGCCGAAAAGTTCTCGGAGCGTGAGGCGTCGGGGTCTTGCGCGAGGGCTTGGACCTGCTTCAGCATCCAGGCGGGGCTTCCGGGCTATTAATGACACATGGCCGTGGGTCAAAACCGTTTTGGTACCATTTTGGGGTAGGTGCACCACCCATTTTAGTCTTTTTTAGTGGGGATTGGGATGTTCACTGGGGGTACGGGATTCTGACCCTCAATGTTGGGGGGTCATTTGGTTGACTGTTTCTGGGGGTTAAGGTCAGAAAATGGTGTTGCGTCCCTTCAACCTACCACTTGGGGTGTGACTTTGGTAAAATAGCGCCAGGAACCACCTGCATGAAGTGACATGTTGTTTTCCGACCGTCGATTTAGAATGGAAGTTAGCTGGCGGCAAGGGGTAGAAATAGTGTCCAAAGGAGCGAGTCTGAAGCCTCCAACTGCACTGGTGACACCATATTTGGGAGCTTGCTGTGCAAGAGTTGAACCATGTCGCATTTTGGTGCTACTTGGAAGAAATCGAATTGCCTGGGAGGGAACGGACGGCTTTTTCAACATTTGCCAGGGGGTGTGAAGGGGCCCTTGCACTTTCCGCCAGCGGGAGAAGCTGATGCTCCGAATATCAGCCACTTCGAAACGAGGAAGACCATCCTAGTGGCAGTTCTAAAGGCATATATTCACCAGTCGGTTGTTGTTTGTTTCATTTTTCCGTGGATGGGAATAGAGAGTCAAGTCTGTAGCGACATCCAGGCTGGATTATATCTAGTAGCGTCAACCATCGTGAGTGTGCCCAAAGCTCTGCATGTTTTGCAGCCATTGAAAGATTACGCCTCGACAACTCGATGTTTCCAACATCCAAGAAGTCAATGTTGATACCTGGCGACCAGGGCAACCTGGACCAATTGCAACTGTCAAGCAATTGGGAAGCAGACATGAAACCTGAAAGTGAACATAGGAGAAACCTTAGTCACCAACTACGTTCAATGTGATCCGGGGTAATCAAAGGTTTTCTTTTGTGTGTGGGCCTAGGGGTCTTGCACAGCTTTTCAATGAGGGTTCTTCTAGCATTTGCTGGCAGAGCCATCAGCCGCCAGCCATTTGCTGCTAGAGGGTGTTTCCTGCTGTAAATGGTTGGTTTCCTGTCGACGATTCATCAACCGTCAGATCTCTCAATTTGACAAGACAGCCGGGAGTGTTGCCATTTCTGCTGCCGTCATCTTCGGCTTTGCCGCATGTTGTGACGACCGGAAGGAACAGACGTTTTGCAGTGTATAAATAGACTCGCTTTGCGAGCTGGGTGATGCAATTGCCGGGTTCCTGCATGGATGGGGTGTCCTATTTGCATGCACGTTTCCGGAGATTGAACAAATATTGTACACATATACATATATAGATATATGTACAGAGAAGGTAGCTTTTCCAATCACGTGAAGCGCTTTTAAGGATGCTATGTAGTCCCCGCGTGGAGCAACTGTGTGCCAACTCTGGCAACCCACGCAAGTCAATGTTTTGTGCCGCGAGGCTTTGCCGACTTCGTCTCCAAGCTCTTGTGGTTGGCCTGGGATGTGCAGGCGGAACGGGTGTGGTCTCTTGGGGCAGAGTGTCGCAAGGTTTACTCTGACTCTCCTTTGGATGGCCTTTGTTCGATGGTGCCTTAGAGCAAAAGCACAAGTTCAAGCGTTGGAGTGGGGTTCAATCAACAGCGGGCTCACGTCTGCCTAGAGCCCAGATATAGCCCAGATATTTTTTAGTTGCAGCAACTTATATGAATATGGTGAGAGGCCGCAAGGTTTGGAGTTTGAATCCCAGGGGTTGGTGAATCCCGAGACCCGTGCAAATATTCCCTCAAGTTTACGGAAGGAATCCTGCATGGATGTTCCTCAAAAGCTTATTCCTCTACTTCATTGACAGTTTCTTGTTGGGTTCCCTCTGGTGCTTTCCAGTTTCTTCTAGCCTTTCTTCTTTTCCCGCTGCTGCCTCTTTTCTAGGAGCACCTCATTCAGGGCTTCTATGTTTTGAAAGGGCTTTGTTGATATTGTCATGCATCCCTCCACTGCTATCCCCATGAAGATTGCCTTTCTCAAGCAAAGCCAACCGTTGTTGGACACCTTTGGACCTTAGGAATTCCTCTTCCTGCGATATCTACGGGTCCGAAACTGTCCAATGTCTGGGGGGATTTAGGCGATTTCACTGTGTACACCATCCAAGCGGCGCGTCTTAACATTTGTGTGTGTGTGTGTGTGTGTGTCAAAGGGGACCCTAACGGTGGCTTTCCTCTTGGCTTGAGGATATCGATTGGGTTGAAACCCACCTTAGGGGTCCATCTTTGGGCTTGTCTCCAAATCCACCTGAGCCTTCAACTCCAAAACTTACCTCCAAACAACCTCTTGAAACATATAGACAGCACCTCCCTTGCTGGTCCATTGGTAATTCCCCATGCCACCACCTAAGGTTTTTGTCAGCTTTTTCAGTTGCTTTGGTAGATTCCCCGCTAAGGTATGTTTTAGCTTCTTTTCAGACGGTTTTATTGGGGTAGTTTGGCCCACTGAAGCCACTAAAGGCTAGACTGGGCCCAGCAGATGGGGTGCTCCCACCCTCGGCTGGTCCGTTTGTCCTCTTCAGGTGCAGCAGGTCTTCCTGGCTGAGGGCCACTCCCGGGAGGCGAAATCGGGACATTTGGACACCGGCCAGCGGCTTGTTGACGAACCATCTGACATTTGTGACCGAACATCGTGACTGGGGTAGACTTAGGAGACATTTTTTACATTTTACCAGTGGCTCAAGAAAAGCAAACAATAGAATATACGGTTCAGATCTCAAGCTTGAGGTGGATGGGTTTGCTATTTTTACTTCAGGTCCGCCCGAGAAAGAGAGGTACCCAAATTTCCATGGGTTTGTCTCGGTTTCCCGTTGCCCAAAGTCCCAAAGCCGACCCAAAAAGGGGTTCCCCAAAAAGAGAGACAGTCAAGTTAGGTCCATTTCACAAAGATGGGGATCCCTCTTCTTGGGATTCAAAGGGAAATAGGCGGATGAATTCAAGCGGACTCCTGCGCTTTGGCCGAACACCAATGCTTTTAACATGGGCACCCTGGGAAAGAAATGCGGCCTTGTCTCAGGGCCAATGAGGTTCGTATCAGGGAAAAAGGCTTTAGACTTGATGAAAGATGCCCCAATACGCTCGAATACACTTGTCGAAGCTGAACATGGGCTTTTTGATGACAGCTGATGCCCATATTCTCAAAGGCTCAAACCCTCGTACGGTCTGTAAGCTTTGACCTGGTGTTTTTTTTGCTTGGCGATCATGCACACTGATCAACTAGGTGGCCCGAAGAGTTGGTGGATTTGGAATTGAACCCGTGGGGTCTTGTAGAGGGAGACAAGGACCAAATGAGTTTGCTCTGTTGCCCAGTGGATTCCGCCCTTTTTCCTTTTGTTGGGTCAGGGTTCCCCTTTAAACTCAACCAACGAAAGAAGGATGCCCTTTTTTTCCCTTGGCCACTGGGCATCTGAGGGTTTGTTTCTTTTTTTGTTAATGGTTCTCCATCTTATTTTGGTGGGTTCGAAGGGAAACTGAACGGCATGTTTCTTGTTTTAATGGTTCTCCTTTGTTACCACCAATCAAAGTAATCAAGTAGATTGACGCTGAATCTGCGACACAACCGAGGATTTTGTTTGCCGACGTGGCTATTTTGTTGGTTGAGTTTTGACGTGAGCGACTGAGGTGATGTTCTGGCCTACGCTAGACTCGCTAGACGTGCAGGCAGCTGGTTGACGGTTGAATGCCAGGCTTTCTCATTATTTACCGTGCAATCGCCCTTAAGCTTGAAGCGGAGCTGCAGATGCGCATGATGTGTGAGGATGGTTCTCAGTGTGAATGGCCCCGGCCACAAGAACTGCGTTCCTCTGCATCAGCGAGCTGACTCGTTCGGAACAGCAATCCGACACATCTGAGGTGCTCGAGCTCATTTGCTGAGCTTTTTCCCCACCCATTCTGTGGTGCATGTAAATCATGTATCAAAGCCAACGCCGGTCGTGGTTGGGAGGACGCCTTGCACGTCTGCGCGAAGAACCTTGGTGCAGTTCTCTCCAGACACACCTGAGCCAGAATCAAAACACGGGGAGTTAGGGTAGTAAGGGACAACCCCAGCCATAAATAGCTGCGGCCGCCGTCTTAATTCTTTACATGGTTCTGGGTCGACCAGTTTTGTACCGTACCAGGTTTTGATTTTGACTCACCTCTTCATTTTGTTGCTGAGCTAGAGACTGAGTTTGAACCAAATGGTGCATGACCAGCCGGCTGAGGCAAGTGGTGTGCACGCACGTCCCTTTTTTGAAGACGTCCTTATCACAACTGGGGTCCAAGACATAAAAGCGGATAGATGGATTTGCCCTTTGCATGAACGGCAGCCTCTTTTTCCCTCAAACAAAACTGCCGGGTGGAGTTGGGGTATTGCCCATTTGTCCAGCGTCCCTTCTTTCGCGCACTCCTGACCATTTGTTCCATCACCTTGTTGTGCCCATTTCGAGTGACTTGCCCTTTGGGGTAAGGTTTACAGTTGTTGTTGTTGTTGTTGTTGTTGTTGTTGTTGTTGTTGTTGTTGTTGTTGTTGTTGTTGTTGTTGTTGTTGTTGTTGTTGTTGTTGTTGTTGTTGTTGTTGTTGTTGTTGTTGTTGTTGTTGTTGTTGTTGTTGTTGTTGTTGTTGTTGTTGTTGTTGTTGTTGTTGTTGTTGTTGTTGTTGTTGTTGTTGTTGTTGTTGTTGTTGTTGTTGTTGTTGTTGTTGTTGTTGTTGTTGTTGTTGTTGTTGTTGTTGTTGTTGTTGTTGTTGTTGTTGTTGTTGTTGTTGTTGTTGTTGTTGTTGTTGTTGTTGTTGTTGTTGTTGTTGTTGTTGTTGTTGTTGTTGTTGTTGTTGTTGTTGTTGTTGTTTGTTGTTGTTGTTGTTGTTGTTGTTGTTGTTGTTGTTGTTGTTGTTGTTGTTGTTGTTGTTGTTGTTGTTGTTGTTGTTGTTGTTGTTGTTGTTGTTGTTGTTGTTGTTGTTGTTGTTGTTGTTGTTGTTGTTGTTGTTGTTGTTGTTGTTGTTGTTGTTGTTGTTGTTGTTGTTGTTGTTGTTGTTGTTGTTGTTGTTGTTGTTGTTGTTGTTGTTGTTGTTGTTGTTGTTGTTGTTGTTGTTGTTTTTGTTGTTGTTGTTGTTGTTGTTGTTGTTGTTGTTGTTGTTGTTGTTGTTGTTGTTGTTGTTGTTGTTGTTGTTGTTGTTGTTGTTGTTGTTGTTGTTGTTGTTGTTGTTGTTGTTGTTGTTGTTGTTGTTGTTGTTGTTGTTGTTGTTGTGTTGTTGCGTTGTTGTTGTTGTTGTTGTTGTTGTTGTTGTTGTTGTTGTTGTTTGTTGTTGTTGTTGTTGTTGTTGTTGTTGTTGTTGTTGTTGTTTGTTGTTGTTGTTGTTGTTGTTGTTGTTGTTGTTGTTGTTGTTGTTGTTGTTGTTGTTGTTGTTGTTGTTGTTGTTGTTGTTGTTGTTGTTGTTGTTTTTTTTTTTTTTTTTTTTTTTCCGGGAGGACCACCCGGCCATTTCAGAATTGCACATTTCAAGGAGGAGCGGGCCGTTTCAGCGGTCGGCTCCTGTCCTGCAAACCCCCATTCTCTTCAGGAATCCTTCTCAGAAATGGGCCACACCGAGAACGATGGGTGAAGGGACGGGGAGCATAGGTGTCCTTTTAGGTTAGCTTGGTTAAAAATTGATGGGTTCCACTGGTTTAGATGGGGTTGATTCCATTTACAAGGGAACAAATCCATCTATTTTTCCAAAAGGCTACCTACTGGAAAATCAACCCATGGGCTCGTCCCAATGATGTCCAAGTCCCCCGCGGCTCGCGCAGGCTTTGGGCTTGCTCTCCTCGCTCTTTGAGTGTCCTTCGAAGGGTGCCCGCGCCTGTGCAGGCCAGAAGCGGAATTTGTCTTTTTCCCGAGTCCGCTGGTTCGGGGGGCGGTTCGTTCGAAGGGGCTCCGTTCGTTTGGTTTCACGGGCAGCCAACAAGGAAGCCACATTCGCATTAGTACAGTACCTTAAAAAAAACAAAGAAACAATAGTTGAGTTCTGAAAAAAAGAAACAACTTGCAGATGGATGGTTTCTGACATGTGCCCAACTGCGGGCATGCTAAAACTAGTCTTTGAAAGGAGACCCAAAGGTTGAAGCGATTGGGCCGGATGACTAGCATCCTCTGGGGTCAAGGGGCCGCAGTCTGAGCCAAGGGTCAATCTGTATTACTTACTTGACCCCATAGCTCTGTTCAACTGAAGCGATTCGACTTAGTGATTCCGCTGATTTGGCAATCCATGCCCATTTTCTCATGTTTGCATGTTCAGCCATTGCGTTATGTTTGTCTTGTTCATTTGTTCAAGTTTCATTGGCGGGCCATGCGAAATCTACCATTCTCGCCAAAACGTGGGAGTGTCGCAGAATAGCAGGGATTCTGAAGATGGTATCGTATCTGAAAAGGGGCACCACCCGTTTCCACCCAATTTGGGACTTTCATTTTTTTGCAGACCATACACAATGTGAGCATGCGTCGGAATAGTACCCGCAAACTGGCGATCCAGGTCGTTTCCCTTTCAACGAAGCCCAGTAGCGGGGTACCCTCAACATCAGCCCAATAGCTTTGCAAAGGGTACCCCCGAAAAATCCCAAGAAGGACCCATCCACCCGCACTTGAAATGCGTCCCACGTTTCATGTTCATGTTGTTCATATTCAACGCATGAAAGCCCCCTGTTCAAGTTTCGAGCCATTGTTTCAATTGTTTGCTGTCCATTTGGGCATGTTTCATGTTTGGTCCATGCGAAATCTCAGGTACAGGTCCAAACCACCGTACCCCAAACCACCTTCTGCTGGGTGAAAGTCAAAGCGCCACAAACCAAACCTTTCCTTGTTCGGGGAAAGTGAAAATCACACCACCAAGCACAACTTTTAGCAAAAACAAACCAACAAAAACGCAAACCCAACCCCAACCAAGCAAAACCAAACAAAACAAGCACAGCCAAGCAAAAACAACCCCCAAACGCAACCCAACCCTCAACAAATCCTTTGGTGCATTTTGCTTGGATGTTAGGACTTTTTTTAACTTTTTGCCAACTGTTGGGTTTTCCGCATTAAACCACTAAAAGCGAACCACAAAACTTGGGGAGCAGATTTCGCCACCGTGTTGTGGGGTTTGATACGCCAAGCTCGCTGGAAACTCAATTCTCGCCCCCTCCGAGGTCTCATGGTTGTCATTAGGAAACAGGTTACATTTTGTTGATTGTGGTTTAGTGGTTGAAGTCCAACCACTGAACTGCTGAAATCTGAACATTTTTGCTCCCCAAACCCAACGTCAACCGAGGTCTGCTGCTGGCCTGCGCCTTGTGCAACGCCCAGCTGGCGGGCCGCGAGAGCCAGGCCGCCCACGGCCTCGCGCAGCTCACCGAGGCTCGCGGGCGCGGCCCGGGGTCCCACGGCCCCCGGGTTTTTTTGGCGGCAGAGCCACGGGGACTGGGGTCATGTGCTCTTTTTTCCCCAGAAAGCGAATGAATAGCACCTGAAGAGCACCTGGCGTTTTTTTTGTTTTTCCCCCAAGGAAACTTGAATTGCAAATTTGTATTTCAGGTGCTTCTGAAGCAGGGGCTCGACATTCAATTTGGGTGTCTGTTTTTTGACTGGGGTGATGAATAGGAGGTCAACATTGCCCTCATGTCAGAAAAGGCACACCCAAATTGAAGGTTGAGCCTTGCTTCAGAAGCACCCTGGACAACCAACCCCTGCTCGAGTATCAGGAGGTGCTGGCTTTTAGTTGTCCCAGTTGCGCGGTGGCGATTCAACTGTTGCGGGGGAAGCCAACCAAGAAAGCATGTCTTGTTTCGCCCATGGCCACTGGACATGTGAGGTGATTTGTTTGCCGATTTGCCGGGTCTTGAGGGGGAGTTGTTTGGGGTGAAAGAATACGTTCAACTTGGTTTTGGCGGGTTCCCTTGAAAATCACTCA